AGAGCCTGGAGCTGAAAAATCTGGGAGCAATAGAAAGCATTCCTGCAATTGGGGAAGTGTTTCTGAGTCTGCCTTTATCATTAAGCTATTTTAAAAGGATTGGGTAGTTGAGGGGAGGGGGCAGGGGGAGATTTTTTTTTTTTGTGTTTGCAATTTAGTCTGATCTTGGATTTGCCAAAGCCAGATCTGTTTTGGCAGGCAGTGGCCTGGCAGTGATGCATCTCACATGCTGTCTGAGTTTGAGAGAAAAGAGGGGGTGCAGAATGGGAGAAAAGAAAGAAGAAACAAAGTGACACCAAAGTTTTGACTGGAAACTCTGCCATTCTGGACAAGAGCAACTGCTGAGGAGTTGAACTGTTCCACTTAGTGTGGACCAGCTGAATAACAGCCAAAGTTTTTTTCTGCCCTTTTCAGTTATTCATATCACTCCCACCATAACAGCCCCGAGGAGCTGCATTTTTTGTCTGTGTAAACCCAGAAGACAGTGTGTCTATTGACCCTTCTGCTGTTTCTGGAATGTGTCTCAGAAAATTGTTCTCAGCAAAATATCCTCATTCTTTTCTGTATTGGAGACTAAAATGGCAGAAAATATACTGGATTTTAAAAAAATTATCCTATACTTCATCACACATTGCATTTCCTGTTAAAGGAGGCTTGGGGGAGAAGGTAAATGGAACAATATAAATGAAAGTATTTAATTCTCTAAGAGCCTTCATGTAAAGTGTAGCAGTTTGCAAAAGTTTTTTTACACTTTCAGGGTTGACAGTGCCCATCATCAAGTGTCCATATTCCCTTTCTCTGTTCAATTTTCCTGTTCAAAGGCATAAAGTATTAGGACAGATTTAATTCACACCAATATATAAAGCTTTACTAGTGCTGCATGTTTGCAAGGATTATGGATAAATTCCCTTGTCTGTCATTCTTTGGTCTCATTCTGCTGTGCACTGATTGCTGAACTTGCATCTTATTGATGAACTTATTGGTTTCAAGCAGGTGATAAGAAGGCTCACACTTAATATATCTCTCTAACATGAGTTATTTCAAAGGTTTGCAGGGCTAACTTTCTTCTAATTTCTTATTTTAAAAGGTAAAGAAATACCCCCATAAATACTTAAGTCAGATTTCAGTGCATCAGTGTCCTACCCTGGCATCTCCTTTCTGGCATCTCTGAGCTCCTGGTGGAGTCATTTATCCAAACTAACTCATTGTTATTTTAGGAGTCTGGTTTCTGCAACTCATTGGTTGAGAAGAAAATCTGCAGGAAATGTAGTTAAAATCATCTTGAGAGAACAATGTTTGTGCTCTTCCCACCACCTTAAGAGACAGATGCCACAGTGTGTGTTGACAGCTCATATGGCCTTTGAATTTAGGGTTTTTCACCTAAGGTGTGTGTGCTGTTGAGGCCCGATTTTTTTAAAGACTATTTTTAAAGTACTGAAGACAGCCACAGAAATCAGCACTTTTCAAGTTAATACTACTCTGCAGTTAGCTACTGTCCTGCATTCTTGCCCATCAAGCAGCAAGGCTGTCTAAAGAAAGGGGAAAAGATTGGGTTTGATTCTATTTAATGGCACTTCTGCATAGATTCTGAGAGAGAAGCTCACCTGTAATAAAGCTCACGTGCTGCAGGTGAGCTGTTACTGCCTCAGTCTGTCAGAGCTGCACTCCTTTACCTGCAGTGCTCTCTCAGAGCTGCAGAAACACTCCCCTGCTCTGGCTGCTCAGCTCTGATTGCAGGTGCAAGGGCAGCCCAAAGTTCACCTGTCTGCTCCCTGCAAGGCTCTAGGTGCTGCAGCTCCTGGGCTCTTCATTTTGGGGAGCACTTTTCTGAATGAGACCAGCAGTGACATTTGGGACCTTTTGGTTTTGGTGCTGCCTCATGAACTCAGACAGGAGCTGCCTTAACAAACCCAGACTTTGGGGAGGAAGCAATGCCTGTATGCACTGTGCACCATTATTTTGGGGCAAAAAACTGTTACAAAGGGATGTCTGGGGTGGGAGATGTGTGGAATCTGTGCATCTTTTGCAGTGCCAGACATTTGGAAGCAGAACACTGCTGTTCTCCCCACAAACCCCTCAGGTGTACATACCCTTTTTGCTTTTCTGCAGTGCTGAATGGTGACCTCATTCTTTTTTCCTTTGAAGAGGGGAGTTTCTGCTGCATTCAGAGTCCCTGGCTCTGACATCTCTTACAACTGAGCAATCTGTCAGCCTGGAGAGGTGGATTCTGTTTCACATATGGGGCTGGAAGCTGAGCTCTTGTTCACTCATCCCTGCCCAGTTAAAGGAGAGAATGTGTTGACTGAAAGTTGCATCCCAGTATTGTTCTGTATCTGAAGTCATTGTCTGGTTTTCCAGACCCCAATTATTCCAAAGCCTCTCCTCCTGGAAATTCTGTTCAGAGCAAATCTTTTAGCATTAACTCTAAGAAGCCCCCAAAAAAACTCTGGAGCTGTTTGCATGCTCAAGTGAGCAGCAAAGAAGCAAAACTTCATTTTCTGTAAAGCCCAGCTATAAATTACTCCTGAAATAGCTCCTGTGACTCTCTGCAGTTCTGGGCTACTGCATCCATTACTCTGAATGTGAAACTTAAGATCATTGATTTGTTTTTATCATTCTGTGCTTCATCAGAGTGCAGGAGTCTCACTATAAGGTACAATTCTGGTAATACTGGAAGTGGTGATGTTAGAGGAAGTGACATACTGAAATGAAGTAATAAAAAATTCTAGATTTTAAAAAATCTATTTATTTTCAGATCCAAATACCTCATTGGAAAGATATTTAAACAGTTTGAAGCTTGCCAAATGCATTAAATGGCCAAGAGAAACAAAGCATCACTAGGGCTCTCATACAAAAAGTTCTGGTTTTGGAATGCACCCAATTTTATTTACTCATCTGCTGCCCCCTCTTATTTGGGGCCAATTAAGATAATTTTGGAAACTGAGTGTCTACTCTTGTATACATTTAGCTCAGAGTTACTTTGTCATATCCAGCCAATGAGTTTGAAAATGAACTCTGAGGACTTTAATACTTGCTGGGTCTGCCTGGAAATGTGTAATAATGGATTTCTTGTTTTTCTGCTTCAACACTAGAGTCAAGGGACAAATTCCTGAGTTGCATTATTTAAAATTATTTTTTAAAAAAAGAAAGGGAGAGACAGCTGTATGAGTGGGAGTGGGGCTGGTGTAAAGTCAGCTCAGACAATGGGTTCCTCTTAGGTAGATGAGGAGAATGGGCCTCACAAATGAATATTGATCTGCAGCAGCTGGGATGTGAGGAAGGGGTTGGGAGATGAGTGTGAGCCACTCTTACAGCTGCTGCCTTTCCATGGCTGACTTTGTTTTCCTGGTAAATTTGTATTTGTGGCACAAGGATATATTGTTTTCCACTTGTATTTAATGTAGCTGCATCTAAGTGTGTGGATGGTAAAGTTTAATAAACTTTATAGCACTTGGGCAGGGGAATGATTGATGTGGCTGCTTGGAATTTGATTGCAGGAGGTGAATTTTCTGGAATTAGGCACTCATCCTTTGGACAGCTAAAACTCCTGGGAACAGGCAAAGTTGAATATATGTCTTTTATTGGATTCACTTATTTGGTTATACTCACATTCTTCTCCATTTGATGCTACTGTTTCATCTCCTGTGATGCACTTAGTGCCCAGTATCTCCTCATTCTGCTTGAATTATTTCTGGAGAAAGAATGTGAAGGGGATCTGTGAAATTTCTACAATCGACTGCAGAAGCAATATCTGAATTGAAGTGAAATAAATTATTAGGTGAGATGTGCAAACCTGACAAATGTGGAGGAAGGCTACTTCTTTACAAACTGAGATTTGAAACCTCCTGGCAGAATTTGTTGCCTTCCTTCCAGTTATGATTACAAAAATGTTCCATGATTTGGTATTCCATGGATTTCTTGTCAGGAAACTATTGTCTGCTTGGAACAGTTCAAAGAATAACCCTGTTTTGAACTGGTTTTAATGGGAACCCACTTAAAATATGCTAAAATTCTTTGTTGTGTTGTATCCCCTGAAACATGGTTTTTAAAGTAGCATTTCTTTGCCTTGTCTGAAGGAATTATTCAGAAATTCAGCAGCAGAGCTCCAGCAGGGAGGGGGAGCTTCAGTGTAGGGAAGACATAGGGAATTTTGGAAGAGAAAGAAGAGCTGCTGTGTGAAGGCCAAAGGCAAGGAAGGAAAAGGCATCTAAACCAAACAGATGGGAGAGGCAGTAAGGGAAGAATATTGGGCAGTGAAACAGATAACAGAAGGCCTTGGGAACAGCACTGTAAGGGGAGGAATCTGAAAACATGGAAGGGTCACTTGGGGACAAATTATTCTAGGGAAAGAACTGAGATTAATTGCCCAGTGCTCTGCTATGTTGGGTAGCAAAGCAAATCATCTGTGTGGGTAAAAATAGGAAGGGGAGGCATCTCAGCTGCTGCTCAGGCTCCTCTTTCCTTGTGTGCTTCATGCCAGGGCTGTGTGAGGAGTAGAGAAAGGGCTCTGCAGGGCACACAGTTAAGAGGTTTTGTCATGATTATGTTGGCTAAAAGGACAAAAAACTGTTGGGTTTTTTTCCCCACTTCCCTTTCCCCAGAAAACCCTGCTCACCAACAGGGAAGCAGCTCATTAGAGGAAAGCATCAGGTGCCACCCAGCAGGGCACAGGGGGAGCAAGAAATGAGTCCATGAATGTGCTGGGAAGGTGCCTGTCCCGTGGGCAGGTGGAGGGACCAAGTTCTTTTTGGTGTTTGATGTGCAGTTCAACCAGAGGTTGCTCATGGGATGCAAAATGGTTCATGAAGCAGCACATTGTAACCCCAGAAAGGAGCAGCAGCACTGCCCACCCTGCAGCTTGAATGCTTCACACAAGAGGAGTCAACCAAAAGCTGCTGTTCAGAGTCTCATCAGGTTCCTGGGTAGTAAGATAAGGAGTACCACAGTGCAAGTGCTTTCCATGTAGCCTAAATTATAAATTTCTTTTGGTATTTCTTCAGGCAAGACAGCAAGCCCAGCTAAGACATCAGATGGCAGAAGACAGCAAAGCTGAATATTCTTCCACCCTACAGAAGTTCAACAGTGAGCAGCATGAGCATTATTACACACACATACCAAACATCTTCCAGGTAAGGTAGCCCATAATCCTGTGACAAGAATATATTGCTCATCCCCTCAATTCTATGACCCTGACTTTTAACGTTGGGTGATTTTTTTTTTTTGGTCACTCTTAGCAAATTTTACATGCAATCTGCCACCCTGAGAGATGGTAGGATAAATGATTCCTTTTTCTCAAATTAGATATGAGGGGATCAATAGCACACAAGGAAGGTGACGTTGAAGTGTCGTGACAGATGAGGACAGCCTTTGGAATCCTCACAATCTGTCTCTGTTCAGCTCCTGTGTCTGTGCAGCTGGGGATGAGGGAGAGCATCACTGGCATTGTTGGGGCAGGAGGCAGCTGGGCATTGTTGCATCTGTGAAGTCCAGCAGCCCTTTAAAACCTGTGTTCAAACCAGGCTGCACAGATGGTTAAATGGGAACCACAAGAATTCTGCAGCAGTGAGTCCAAAGGGTTTTAAGGAAGCCACTGATTGTGTCTTAGGGTGCCTAAGGACAGGCTGCAGAGGAAGAATAAAAAAGCCATCAGATTCATTCTGAGTGAAGATCTGAGTTTGTGCTTGAATGAGTGAATTGAGGTTAATGTAGTAGAACAGAACTTCTAAATGACTGTTCCCTTGTAATGGGTCATGAGCATCAGAAGTGGAAAATGCAACCTTTTCAAGGGAGGACATGTCACATGCTTGTCACCAGATGAGCAGGAGCTGATATTTGCGTGGCAAACACGCACTTCTCACCCACTGCTGAAACTTGTGGGCTAAATGGCCACCTCCTCTTTTGCCTCATGGTATTTCAAACCAATGCCTTGAGATAAACTGTTCCTGGAATCCAGCAAAGGCTGGAGCTGAGGAAGGGCACTCTGATCTGTAGGTGAGCATGGTCAAGTCCTGCAGATGTGCCCTCTTCCCTGTCAGTGCACTAGCAACCTCCAGGGCTTGCTTTATTTAAATGTTGAAATAAATGGTTTTGTAAAGAATTGATGTTGCTTGTGGATCAGTCAAGGCCAAGGGGATTTTTGACTGCTCCTGCTGCCCAGTGAAACAGGCTGCTCCTGTTCATGCCCTTCTGTATCCTGCTCATGGAATTATGCCACATTCAGTTTCCCTCCTGGTAGAGGAGGGAGGTCCTGGAGCTGAATCCACTGAGCAGTGAGGAGCTGTGCTGTGAACAACACAGGATGTTTTTATTGTGCATTAATACATCAATACATGATGCACTGTGAACAAAGCATGACATACAGCACTCCCTAAACACCAGAAATTACTTCTAGGGGAGAGAAGGGGACACATCAAGATCTTTGGTTGGAGTCTACAGTGGAATGAAAATGAGCTTGTTCTGAACATGCACAGAAATGAAAGAATTTGTTGCAGAAATTCTTTTAAAAGCCTTAGGAACCATCCTTACAAAAGTCTAAAGCTGCAGTTTGACAAATCAGCATTTTTTAACATAAAAAGTTAATTGAAAAATTTCCAGTAATAGTAAAAGAGATTACTTTAAGAATGACATTTTGATGTGTGAGGGAACGGTACCACTTGGTGCCTTCCTGAGAACCGCTGTCCTAGTTTGTTCTTAAAAATATATTTAATCCTTAAGTTTTAAAGCAGTTGATGTAAGCTGGAGAGGAAAATTGGGTGAAACTGTGAAGTTAATCTTGATGTTTGACCTGAATGAAATGTAATATTTTAGAAAATACAAGAGATGGAGGAAAGAAGAATCGTGAGGATAGGGGAATCCATGAAAACCTTTGCAGAAGTCGACCGCCAAGTGATCCCCATCATTGGGAAGTGTCTGGATGAGATAACAAAGGCTGCAGAATCAGTGGATCACAAGAATGTAAGTGTTGCATTGTTGATTGTTAATTTAGTACTGGTCTCAAATTCATGGAGGCTGAAATCCTGGGCCCAGGCTCAGCACAAGAGCTTTGCAGTCACGGAATTAAACCAAAGAACAGCTTCTTGTCCCAAGCTGCTTTGTCTGAGGCAGGATGTGCTCAGATTATTCCCCAAATCTACTTAACATCCAGAAATGCCTGCAATACTTTTTAATTATTTTGGTTTTTATTAAGGAATATTCTCTCATTTTATTAGGATAATTACTTTTTGAAATATTGCATTTTAAAAGCAGGCATCGGCATGTGTTGTTAGACATAATTTCAAATACTTAATCACCAATTCTTATAAAGGTGGTTTCTATGTCTCATAAACAGAAAACTGTCTGTTTCAGAAATGCCTTAATTCCAGTTAGCTTTATAATAATGAAAGTATTTAAAGTATTGGCAATAGGAACTATCACAAAATCTTTCTGTAAAATATTTCTTTGCAGCTTTGAGGTTTGCTGGCAACCTATAGATGAGCAAATCTTGATGTCTGAGCATCATTTTCCTTCACAGGATGCAAAGAAACCTCTCTGACGGAAAAGCTGATAAAGAATAGCTGATAAAGATTTCAGTTGAGCTTCCTGATGTACAGTAACCACAAGGCCAAATGTGTTTTTTGTTTTGTTTGCAGAGTGATCTGCTCCCTTCCTACATGAAGCCTCTGTTCTTCCAGCCTTTCACATTAGTGCTTCAAATGCTGACAGCAAGTGTCTTGCTGCCTGTTTGAATTTCCCATACATGTTTTTCACTACAATCTTTTCTGAGCTGTTCAGTGCCTGGAGCCATGAACTGGCACCATAACCCTGAGGCTGAAGTTTTGAAATTAATCCTCTGCTCTCTGTTCAGCAATTGATCTCACAGAGAGCAGCATAGGAAACTCAGGGATCTGAGATCGACTCTGAGTGGGAAAAGGGGGAATTGGGGCAGAAATTCCCATATTAGAACAACATACCCTGCTTGAGGTCCAGCTTTTGGTGCTGCATGGTGAAATCATGCTGGGGAGATTCATATCTCAGCCCACACTCTGCCCAAGTCTTCTTAGCAAAACATGCATAAAATTAAGCTGGGTGTTGGAATCAGGGTGAATTTTATATTCTCTTGCTCACAAATAAGCCCATGATGGCTCATACACAAGTGTGACATGGGAAAATTATGACTTTGAGCATTGATAACTGAGTTTACCAGGATCTCCTGTAAACACTGTGCTGACAAAAATGTATTTAACCAAAATAGTTATATCTGAGCAGCTGCAGAGGGTTTAGTCTGTCCTATCTGGAAACAGTTATGTTCATAAAGAGTTCTTTCTCCTTAAATATCTTCAAGGCTTTTTTCATCTCTGGAGCAGTAATTTCTAACTGTGTTGATTATAATGAAAGTGCTGGATTGGGTATTAAACATGCAACTGTGTAAATAGGATTGCTTTATGCCCTCACTGCACTGCAGAATTCCTGTTAATGCCAATAGAAACTGCCTGGACTTAGCAGGGAATACTGGTTTGCTGTTATAGTGTCTCTAAGTCAGTTTTAAATTATTTTTTTTCCATTTATTCCCTTTCTAACCACTTGAACAACACAAAGGCCGTGTGGCAAGTGGGAGCTGTGGTGGCTGCCAGGTGAACCTGTGCAGAACCTGATTCAGAGGGCTCTAACAGCAGATAAAATGAATTTGTTATGGGCTTGGAGTTCCTGTTATGACATTATCTCTGTGATATATGGAGCATGCTGCTTATTTTTAGCTCCATTGTAGTGGAATAATGTTTTGAATAAATGGAAGGAACACTGTAAAATTCAGAAGAGATAAAGGGAAAAGCTCCATGCATAGGCTAAAATACCAGTGGAATATTTAATATAACCTAGTGTAATCTCTTAGAATCAGAGAATGGTTTGGGTGGAAGGAACCTTAAAGCCCATCCAGTTCCACCCCCTGCCATGGGCAGGGACACCTTCCACTATTCCAGGCTGCTCCAAGCCCTTTCCAGCCTGGCCTGGAACACTTCCAAGGAGGGGGAATCCACAGACTCCAGGCTCTTGCAGTCTCTCCATCTTTCCTGTAGGCTCCCCTCAGGTGCTGGAAGGCAGCAGCTGAGTCACTCCAAAGCCTCTTTTCCAGGCTGAACAATCCCAATTCTCTCAGCTTTTCCCACTCTTTCCCCCTCTTCTCTAATCCTTCTTCATCTTGCTTACATGTCTATCATTAAAAATATCTTCAAGTTCAGATCTCAGGAAGTTTTAATGTCAAACAAGGAAGGGATAATGGAAAGTGTTGTTCTACCTCCCTAAAATTCATGCAGGAATTTCATGGTGCCACCTGATAGATTGTGAGGATCTTAAATCCATGTGGATCTTGACAATCCCATGAAGACTTTTGCAAAGCTTTTCCTGTATCTGTGTTTTGCTCACTGGAGCCTGGCCTCTGGATATGTTTACATCCCAGCAGATTTCTCCTGAACAGCATTTTACCTAGAGCCATTACAGAACCTGTGAAATGCCTTCAAAGTAACAAGTTCTTTTTATGTAACAGGGCAGTGATGCTCTTCTCTAGAGAATAATAAGATATTTGTGTGCCAAGGCACAGCATCTCTAGAGATCTTGGACTACATCTGTTAGAGTATAACATAATCTCTCTTCCCAAGAAAACAAGTGGATAAGAAGTCTATTAGGATATTTTTTTCCTGAGTCCATTAGATTTAAATGCATTTGGCAAGCTGAGGTCTGACTTTGATCTTATGTATAATTAATTTTGTTTGTAGACTTGAGTAGGAAGAATGCTATGGATTAGTTTGCCTTTGATTTTTTTTCCCTTTGCCTTTTGTCCAAAACAGAAGAGCAAAGCCATTGTACACAATCTACAGCCAGTTTGTGGCTGACTTAGATCCCTCCTAGCAGTGCCAAAAGGGAATTTGGCTTCAGTGGCTCCCACACCAGGGCCCAGGGCTGCTGGTGTGACCTTGGACTGCTCAGATGTTGTGTAAAGCTCATGAAACATTTACAGCCATTTACTCTCACTAAATTCACAACCAACTTGTTGACTTGTGGCAGAGTGATCACACAAGAGCTCTGCTTTATAGGAGTCTTTATAGGGATTTTCCTCTGATTTGCTAACAGCTGTATTCCCAGCAAATCTGTACATTAAATCTTTGTTATGAAACACTTACTGAAGTGTGATTTGCTTTTCTAGTCAGTCAAGTTCACAAGCTCTTACTCCTTTCCAGCAGAAGGTGGAGAGACTTGCACTGATCCTGGGCTCTGGAAGGGGATTCAAACCCAAGAATGAGCCTGGTCACACCCAGGGTTGGTCCCACACACACAAACCTTCTTGTCCTGCCTTAAAGTGCCAGCAATCTGATGTCAAGCCTCCCCTGAGATGTTCACACCTGTGTTGGTCTGTCCCATTCCAGGATTCCCAGATGGTAATAGAAGCCTTTAAATCAGGGTTCGAGCCTCCGGGAGACGTCGACTTTGAGGATTTCACGCAGCCCATGAAGAGGACAGTGTCTGAATCCAGCCTTTCCAACTCCAGAGGGGATGGGAAGTCAGAGCCCAAGTTTGGTAGCAAATCCAAGGGCAAGTTATGGCCATTCATCAAGAAAAATAAGGTACTGATTTGTAAACTTGAGCTTGGTGCTAGTATGTGATTTGTCAATAACCTGTGTCTTGTCTAGTAATCTTGGCAAGTTTAGTTTTTTTAAAGAGAATTTTAGATTCAGAAAGTTAATAACTGATGTCTTAATGTGGTGTTTTGTTGTAGTCTTTGGTTACTTAAGTTTCTTTAAAACTTTAATTATTTTTTTCTTGTATAATTTCGTTAATTATGTTGCAGTTTTTAAATTAATTTAACTTAAGTTGTCACGTCTCTGCCATGGTCCATTTCTGTTCCTAACTCAGAGAAGGAGTTGTAAACCACTTACCTAGTGCCATGTGTGCCAACTAACCTTGTTTCCTGTGGGAAGCTTCAGTGTGGCATTACTGTTTTGACACTCCTCAAACTCTCCTTGGCTTTCCATTTGCGTGGTCTTTCCAGTCTGTGCACTGGGGTCAGCAGGTGGGTGGCTGGGAGCAGGGAATTGCTGGGATTCACTCTGAAGCACAACTAATGGAGCAGAACTAACTGAGCAGTTGACTGTTTAAAAGACCATATTAACTTATGTACCCATTAAACCTTTTTCATCCCACTGTCATACTTTACACCATAATGCATGGCAGCATTTATCTGGGGTCACCAGGACGTGTCAGGGGGACTGGACTCAATCAGGTTTCAGTAACACTGATGGAAGCCCAGAATGGCTTTGTATTTTTGACCCCACTCTTGCTCTGACCCTTTGCCAAACCACTTAAATTTGAGTTTTAAAGGGGTTCTCAAGTTTCCTGTAGTGCTGGTGTGGGAGAGGACTCGCTGTCTGGTGCTTACATCAGTGTAGCCAGAATGAAAACACAACCAGGACTGACTCCTGAGCAAATTCATAGAGTGATCTGTACAAGTGAAGTGTGATGCACGTTGCTGAGGTATGATTTGGAAGCAGGAAGGAATGTGGTTTGTTGTTTTCCAGATAATAGAAACGCTACTGGGCACTAAGGTACCTTCCTTATCTGATCCATTTAAATTCAGGTATTTGAAAGCTCTATCCATATGCATTATTGCAGCTGTCCACAGAGCAGAACAGGGCAATTTATGGGGATAGTGCTGCATGGAAGAGTCTGCATGAGCTTCCTTCAAAATACTTTTGTGTTACTCTTCTGTTGCATCACTTACTAATACTTTCATTTATCACAACTCTTCATTTAACACGATTCTTAACTACTGCTTCCTCCCCTCTTTTAAACCATGGCCTTTAATATTTAATTATTTAATTGGTTTTTTCTCTGGATTTCAAATATTGGTTTTGATGCTTATTTTCGTTTTGTGTTTTATCTTTTTATTTTGGTTTTTATTCTGTCACTTCTCCATCTCTTATACGTAGCTTATGTCCCTTTTAACATCCCCCCATCAGCCCCCTCCTCCTCCCCCTGCCTCTGCCTCACCCTCTGCTGTTCCCAACGGCCCCCAGTCTCCCAAGCAGCAAAAGGAACCCCTCTCCCATCGCTTCAACGAGTTCATGACCTCCAAACCCAAAATCCACTGCTTCAGGAGCCTAAAGCGTGGGGTAAGTTCTCCTCTGGATACCTCTCTCTCTCTTTTTCTCTCTCTCTCTTTTCTTTCTTGCGCTTTTATTGCACGTTCTGTTATGTAAAAACTTTTGTTTTGTGAACGGTTCCATTGTGTTTTATCACAACATGCAGACAAATCCAAGGGTTCTCAACATATCAAGCCATTTGTAGTCAAAACCCCCACAATGAAACCACAAAAAGTACATTTCCTGGTGGCAATTACAAATCTGGGTGAGTGGGGAAGGAGGAGCTGAACATTGAGTAATGCTCGTGTAAGAAGTCAAAGTCTTCAGTTTTTCTCTCTGCAGCGTGGGTTCAGCTCAATGCCTGTGTTAGAGGAGTAAATTAGGAGGGATTCTAGGAGATAATAGTTGTGATTTCAGTTGGTAAAAGCTCAGTCTGGAATGATGTGACATTGTCACTGGAGCAGTGGGAACTTTGTTCCAGTCACTCATCTCGTGGTTCAGGTGCTGCAGTGTTAGTTTGTGTAGGAACTCTGAGTATTGACATAAGAACTGGTGGGAGGAGGAAGGTGAACTGATTCTGGGTGGGAACAAAGCCTTTCCATGGCCCAGGTGTGCTTTAAGCCAGGGCTGCCAGGTCAGGGGAGACTGGGACACAATTCCCATCACCACAATCACAGTTTAAACTCATATTCTGTGTGCAAAAGCTTCATTGGTGCAGTATGCAAGCTTCAAATGACAGAGGAGAGGTTCTGAAGGAGCAGGATTTGGGATTCCCCTGCCAGCAGCTGCAGTGTGTCAGTGCTGGTTTAAGCATTGTGTGGTAGAAAGATGCTCAAAGTCTCTAGGGCTGATTTGGGGATTCTCCTGGGTTTAGGTCACACTGGACCCACATTTTGTGACACAACACCACTGTTCCAAGCTCAGTGTCCCTGTCTCCTTTGCTGCTGATAAACCTCAGGCCATATTTCCTTCTTTTCCAGGTCAGCTGCTGTTCCTGTTGCTGACAGCAACTGTGGTTATATTCATAAATCAATGTTGAAGTGTTTGTCTGGAATTAAATCCTCTCATTGGTGGTCTTCATAAGCAGTAAATAAAATGTTAGGTCCCTGAGATAAAATTTGCCATTTTTCAAACAAAATAAGACTTAATCTTCCACACATGGCATGATTTGTACTGAAAATTTGCTGCCACAGCATGGCTTTGCCTCCTAGGTGAAACCTTTAGAATTATTTTCTCCTGTAAAAATTACAGGAAGGAGACAGAAGTGTTCAGTATTTTAAATGTTTTTTAGAGCAGACAGTAACAGTGAGGAAGTGACTACTTAGAAAAGCCCAAATTCTGCTCCAGGCACTCATTTAGGTCTGAGGACTGGAGCTGTATAAAAGCAGAGATGATTTCCATGGGGAACTTCAGTGGCTGGTTACAAAGAACTGAGAGCAGTGCTGTAAACAATGCACTGTCTCATCTGGTTACAGAAAGAAGAGTCAAAAATAAAGATGTTTTAAACAGTTTCAGTTCTTTGCTAGGAAATTGCCATTTAATGGGACACTCAGAACACAAAAAATCCCATTTCCTCCCATCCCTGTTTCACTGGGGAAGTGGGAAGTTTCTAAGCTGTCCAAAGATAGGTTCTGAACACGTCCCTCTTACCTCGGTTGCAATTTGGCTCAGAGCATCTTTTCTCAGTGGTTTTATCAGGTGGAGACAGACTTTCAGTTCTGCTTGTGCAGCAGCAGAGCTGAGGGTGTGCTGGGTGGTGGCACAGCTCCAGGAGTGGCAGCTGGAGCCCTCCTTGTCCTGGGCAGTGCTGGGTCACTTTGTGGGGTGAAGGCACTGCTGGAGGTCAGGGGTGTGTGGCCATCTAATGCTCCACAGTGGCATTCAGAGAACAGAATGCTGAAATGGCTATTTCCTACTTGACTTGAAAATACTGGTTTGTAGTTCCATGGGCACTTCACCAGTTTGTATTTCAAATGTATGAATCCCTACTGACTGATTGCTTGGCCATATAGGCAATTATAACTAATTGCTTTTCACAGTTCCTGAAGGAAGGCCATTATTTTATGTATTAAATAGCTAAGAAATCCAAACACAGAATTAAGAATTCTGCATGCCATATTGTTTTAAATCCTTTGTGTGAAAGGCAAAGTAATGAGAACAATGTCCTATGGTCTTCTCTGGAATCCCTCACATTTCTGCTGACACATTCATTGAGAATAAGCAAGGAAGGGCTATTGCTAAATCTTCATTTAAACCTTTCACTGTGTTCTTTTGCTATTTCATTTCCTTCCCCTCTCAGCTACCAGGATGTTTGTGTGTAAATACTTTTCCTGCCTGACTCATCCTGAGGATTTGGAGTCCAGTGTTCAGATCATCATCTCTCATCCCAGAGGGATGAACTCAGGCCCCTTGGATCATTTAGAGATATGGAGGAGGAGAGGCTGAAAACCTCTGGCAACTTGCTCTGTCTCATTTGGAGACTTGTCAAATTTACATTTTAGAGCTCCTTGGTGATTTGTATTTTACAAATGGTCAGACTAAGAGATCATCCAAGTGCCATATGACCTTCAAAAATAAAATCATTCTAACCAGGCAAAAAGAAAATCAAGAGCCACCCACAAATCCTTTAAATTTATCAGGTGAAAAAGAAGAACATTTGATCTGTACATCAGGGAAGCAGCATTTTGGAAGGTCATGCAGGGAGCAGCAGGGTAGCACAGTGTAACAGGAGTTGGGACTCTGGATCATTTCATTGCTCTGAATTGTCTCTGCACTGCTGGGTTTGTTCCTTGGCAGAATTCCACTCCAGACACCTTCAGTGAAGGTGCCCACAAGGCTCTTTAAGTCTTACTTTAGAGTATTCAGCCAAATTGCCAAGCAGGTGCTCCCTGGATTTCTTGATAACCTGAGCTCTCAAATCCTACAAAGCCAGGGAAAAAGTTTACTTCAGAAAAAATGGGATCACACTCCTTTATTGCAGTGTCTTAAGGAATAAGGAAAAGAAAAGCAACTATTTGACATGAGCAAATCCTGAGACTGTAGCAAGATAAATTCCAGCAGCAGGAATTGCACATTGTAATTGATCCTTGAAACACAACACAGGAATGGATTCCATGCAACTCCTCCATGAAATCTGGGAGATCACAATGTGTCTGGAGAGGGAGAGTGTTTTAGCAATTTCCTTTCAAAATTTTGGTTTAGCATCTTAGGTTGCATTTGGCAAAATCACTGGCGACTGTTAAAACACATTATATAATTAGCTATGATACGTTCTATGCCCAGTCTGGTTTTAATTTTGCTTCCAAACCAAAAATCCAATGAATCTTGTTTTCATGGAAGGAAACAGATGCCTGAACAATTCACAACAGATGCAAGGTTAATGTGGAGACACCAATACCAGTATCAGTGGTCACTGCCAATATGAAATCCTAGTCTGCTAAAAAAAAATTAAATATTTAGGTGCTGACTCTTGTCAGTGTCTATGGTTTTCTAATCACATTTTTGAATTTCCCTCAAAGCTTTTTTCATCTTACCCCAGCAGCAGAAATGTCCATTATAGAGAATACCATAAAACTGTTAGAGCACTTATTATGGATCAGAGCTAGGAGAAGGGGAAAACTGTCATACATTTTTTGTGTTTTTTCTAATAGCTGCTTTAAAAGACACTATAAAATTAGTGTAGCACTTCAAATCAACTTCATCTCTTTAGGGAAGTTAAAGCCAGAAGAGCACAAAGAAAGAGGAACCAGTTACATAACTTATAATTTCATTTATGCTTGCTCTGCTTTTTCTAATTCCATTTTGAGGACAAAGGAAACTCAGTATTCTGCTGTTTGGTATTAATTTTGTGTTCTTTAATTTTATTGCTGCAGCAGCAGTAACATCAGCACCATTTTTTAAAAGAGCAACCCTCCAAACTAACAACATCCAGGGGTAGAACTTACACCTTTGAATGACTCCGTGTGCACTGGACTTGGCTTCCCTCCCTCTCCCCAGAGCCTGGGAAGGGGCTGAGCAGGGAGGATGCTCTGGGAGCTGGGGCAGACATTGCTGCCAGTATCCAAGTTCCATAAAGCACACGGAGGAAATTTTGTGGTTTCCTTTCTAGTGGAAGTTGTTGACTTCATTACAATGTGATTTTATTTCCATTGCACCCGTTGCTGTGTCCCTCCCTGCCCGTCTCCTCTGACACTCTGTGCACTCCTGTCCCTCAACACCCAGCTCTGGATCTGCCCCACTGTTCAGTACTTTGTTGTTCTGTGAGCATGCAGAGGCAGCAAGCAAACCACCCCTTGTGCAGCCTGCTCTGTTCCCTGCCCTGGGAACACTTGTTCCAAAGTCTCTCTCTGTGCCAAGACCGGGGCTTTTCGGTGGGTGGGGTCATTAAAAATCCATGGCTTGTCCTAGCACTAAGAGAGATGCCTTCTGACCTTGGTATTTAAACAAGCATTTAAAAACACCATGTTTTCTGATCTCTCTGAGCATGCTGAACTCTTAATATCCACCTGGCTCCCAGGAGGCTCCCACTGTGAGGGCAGTCAAACACCACAGCTGCCTTTTGCTGTAGAAGCAGTGAACACAGAGGTGCCGTGCTCATCCCCGGTGTAACCAATGTGTGTTTTCTCTTGCTGACTCACCAGCAGACACAGTCTTTGTATATTCACAAAGAACTCATGAAGAGGACTTTAGGGACACCCACGTGTGCCGTTGAGGCTAGGGAATATGTTGTAAGTCTGAGTATGGTGTGATCAGCCCATACTGTTGCTGCACAGTCGCTAACCCCACTTACAACGCCGGCCCCAGTGTGCTGTGGGAATGTGCTTTGGCAAAAAGCCAAGGAAAATTTGGTGGGAGGCAAGTGGCAGCTTACAGTGTGATGTGCAGGAAAGATAATGTCTGCTAGTCCTGGAAATGCTGAAATTGGCACAATTAAAATAGCTGGACCTGTGAAATTCAAGGTGTTGCGAACAGGTTCTGCACATTTATTTTAAATGATTGAATGAATGCAGTCTTGAGCATCACGAGCCCTGATGGACAGGAATTCTGTGCCTTGGTTGTGAAGCATTCCCTAGAGCCTTTGGAAGCTTCTGTGAGCTGTCTATAATGATGATAATTCATGGAATCAAGATATGTGACCTCTAAATCTGCTACTTGGACAAAGCAGAGTATGGGGAGATTGTTACAGGGCCACTTAAAAAACAACAACAACAACAACAAAACAAAACAAAACAAAAAAACCCAAAAAAAACCAAAGAAAAGAAAATTACCTCTTGGTTGTATGTATGGAAGTCCAGTGATTTATTTCACCCCTGTTTTCTGTAAGTGAGGTTAGTGGCCGTGACTGTCCAATAACACATGGACCTGCTGGCTTTCATGCTCTCATGTGTTATTGAAGCTTGTGGCTCTTAGACTCTTCATTATTTTCCCTGCAAGACTAAGCTGGGCTTGGTTTAAATTGACAGCTTGAAACACATTTGCTCATTTCAAGGAAATGTAACTTACTTGATCATTCGGGAGGAAAATGCCTTTGTTCTCCCAGGAGCTGTGAGCAAGTTTCTAGCTGTGAAAAGCCAACAGAATGGGCAAAAGTAGTTATGTAGTGTTTAATGCAGATTTATTTTCAATCTGCTTATATTTGTTTATAGAAACTGAATCACTGTCACGTAAAATTACCAATAAATTTCAGAAATGGAAAACTGTGAACATGACTTATTTCAGCATTTCATTGTTTCCAGCCTATGAACTGCTTTATTTATACTGGTTATAACAATCCCTGATGTACTATTTGGAAATGCTATTAATAAAGTTCTCTATTTTTGTCATACTTAACAGCAAAAGAATTGGGCATACAGTGTCTGTAATCCCTTTCAAATTTGCTGAATTTGCAGCAAAAGAATAGCCTTGATGCAGATGATTCTCCGCAGTATTTAGTGCCTTTAGAGTGAGTAGTGTTTAGCCACTAGAGCATGTAGCATACATTTGTGCCTTTTTTTAGAGTGCTTCATAGGTAAATATTTATTCTGCACCATGAGTCTTGTCTGTATCTATGTACAAGAATCTCAGTTTGTGCTGATCATGTCTATGCTAAAGTTCACAGGAGTGCTAAAGCAATGATGCAAACACAAGCTGCCTACGCTGAATTTCTTCAGACCATTCTTTCTCCTTCTATGATTGCTCTCTCCAAGGGATTGGTTTTGTTTGCTTTATTTTTTTAATGGCCTCTTTAGCTCAGAGGGTGAATTTCTCCATGGCACTGTGATTATATTATCATGTGTTTGTTCCCTAATGGACTGGACTGCAGAGGGAAGTGTCACTGCTGCCTTGTCACTGAAGGGTCAGTTCACATGCAGCATTTCACTGTTATTTCAAGATCATTTCTTTTGAATGGCTGGAATGTGTTGCTGTAAAAATCCTGGTAACTAATGGGAATTGTTATTTTGGGGGGAAAAAAAGTGTATTTCTTAAATCAGCTGCCCACAAGAGGTGTGGAGCCTTTATTTTAAATCCAATCCTAATGAACTGTGTTTTTGTTAGAAATGGAGCATCTGTTTGAGAACACATTGCCAGGAGCTGTTGGTAGTGACAGAGAACTGAATGGAAAGAGGTTCCCAAGTCTGGCAGCACAAATCCTTGCCTGGAGAGAGGCATTTTCCAGCTTTTACCTTCCAGCTGTTGCTAACATGGAGTGTGTGCTTTTATGCACCTCAAGTTTGTTGGGTAGCTGGAGCATTTCACAACTGCCCCAAGAGCTGGCAGGGCAGCTCAGTGCCCCTTGCTGGAGGAGGAGGAGGAGGCTGGGTGGAGTTTGGATTCTCCTTTTCTATCTGGCTTTAGATCCTGAGCAGCAGCTCACTTGTGCTTGGCACAGCACTGAGCACTGTCAGTCCCCCTTATCTCTTGGAAATCCTCTGAACTGCAGCTGTTCTGTCATTTTGCAATGATGGAAGAGGCTTTGGGAATTCTGGTGGTTGTGTGCCCAGGCACAGTTGTTCACCTGGGAGTTCCTGGGGCACCTGCCCAGAGCTGTGTGTGCAGGTGAGGCAGGGCAGATGCTGCTCCATGGGCACACGCTGCTTTCAGTCTTGCTTTCCCAGAGTAACTAAAAGATAATATTTGGGCTCTGTCCCAGGAAATGTGGTAACTTCTGAAGAATTAGATCATGTATATCATTTAAGGAGGTTGAATAATGTCTTACCATGCTGTCATAGAACCAATTTGGTGTCAAGAGAATAGATGTTTTTTTTTCCTCCTCCTTGGGCTTGACCTTGTCCGACTATGGCCAAAGTACGTTTGAGTCTGAGTATTTATTTCTGAATTGTCCAAGAATGTGAAATGGCTTTCTGTGCCTGCCTGGGCAGCACTCTGCAGTCCACAGGGACAGTCCAGGGGTGTTGTCCTTTGGCTGGAGCCAAGAGCCAGGCATTCCCTGGAGGTCCATGGTGCCGGGTGCTGTGGGAGCTGCTCCTCTCCTCTCCACCGAGGTTTGGCTCAGGGCTGACCCCCCCAGAGCCCTTCCATGAAGGGGCTGATGCATTTCAGCACATTTTTGATCTAAAGTGACACCCATGCATTGCCAGCTGGGAGTTTTTCCCACCTCAGTGCTGTGATGGGAACTCCCAGTGTTGTTGGTGTAGCTGTTGTCAGTCAGTCCAGGTCTGATCTCACCTGTGCCCAGGTCCAGCATTCCCATTCCCATTTCTGGCCAGGTCATGGCAGCTGCCCAAGCCCATCTTGTGAACTTTTGCACAGATCTGTTAGTGTGACCCATTTTGCCTTCCAACAGCAAGGGGATTGTGTCATTTTATTGTAACATCAACCTCAAAAAGTTCCTCTTCTACTGATGCATTGTTGTTTTTTCTCTCTCTCCCCCCACCCTGTATCTCTCCAATTTTACATGAAGCTTTCTCTCAAGCTGGTAAGCACATTTACAGCATGCCTGTCCTGTGTTTTAATCACAATTTCCTGTGTGTGTGTTTAATGTGCACTGTGCCACATGTGACATGCCACTGAAATTAACTTTTAAATTTGTTTCTTCTTTGTGTTTGCTTTTTTTGACATTTATCAGATAAATCTGAATACACAGGTCTGGAGTCTAATAGAGGTGATCAGAATTCAGTCTTCTAATAAGCTGCTAAAAAATTAACTCTAATATATAGTTTAGTTTTCACTTTTATAATCTAGGGCTATGAAAATGTAGAAAAACGGTATTGAGCAATTCTGATACTGTATAAGTATACATTAAAACATTAAAAGAAGGGGGAAAATAAAATAAAGGTGTCTGTGCTTGCTGGACTTTTTCCAGAGAGCCATGCATATCTTTCTGTGTAAAGTAGCTACAAAGTTTGCTTTCCATGTCCAGTATTACTGGAAATCTGCATCATTATCACCTACATTTTACAGCCCTATGTAGTTCTTCAGAATAACCAATAATGACATTAATTTAAGTTCTGTAAACCTTAACCTTAACAAGGTTAACTCAATCTGATTTGACTTTGCAAATTGAGAGATATGAATTTGTGTGAATCCTAAATTCCATCTTGGATGCAGCTGGGAAGGTTACTTGACCTATGGTAAGATAAAGATGTTACTGAGCTGGAAAGGGAAAGGGGGAACAGAGCTGGGAATGCAAATTACTGCTGAACTCCATGCACAAGGTATTGTTTTGCTTGAGACACTCCACACCTTGTTGTGTCCCACAGCTTGGCCACATTCCTTTGGCCCTGGAGAGCCCCTCAGCAGCAGAATGTGCCTGGTTTGCTGCCCCACCTTGTGCAAACACACGAGGGCTGCAGCCAGTGAGGCCATCTGGGGACCTCAGGGGATCCACAGGGGCACCTAAGCTGTGTCAGCTGCCAGGTTCTCTTATTCCTCACCAGTTTGTGCCTTTGGGTGCTCTTTCCCTTCCCTGGGAGGGTGGGCAGGCCCTGGCACAGGTGCCCAGAGCAGCTGTGGCTGCCCCTGGATCCCTGGCAGTGCCCATGGCCAGGTTGGACGGGGTTTGGAGCCATCTGGGATAGTGGAACATGTCCCTGCCCATGGCAGGGGGTTGGAACAAGATGAGCTTGAAGATCCCCTCCAACACAAACTGTTCTGGGATTCTACATTTATCTTGTGCTTGGACACATCCTTGTGGGCCTCTCCTGCTCATGGCAGCTCATCATGGCAGCTCAGAGCTGGGCCTGGTGCATCCCTGGCAATTTTGGGTCCTGCTGCTGCTCTGGCAGCACAGTGACTTTCTTGGGCTCCTTTAGCAAGGTTGCTTCTCACTGAAGACCTGTGGTGGGTCTGAGGAATGGTGGGAGTGCCTGGAATATGTGCAAACCTTCTTTTGGCCATTGCCAAGCCACTGTCCTGAGAGGCCACTGCATTTATAGCAGATTTCCACTTCTTTTCTTGGTCACAGTGCTAGTGTGCTGTGTAGCTGAGTTAAGCCTTTGCATGTAGGAATAAATCCTCCAAAAATGGCTGACATAGCCTTTCCCTGGGAATTGCAGAAATTGGAAAGATGTGCAGGGAGGGCTGAGATCCATTTTCCCCTCAGATGGAGAAAAGCAGCTTTTTTAAATCTCCTCTTGGATCCTCACTATGCAAGAGCCAAAACTGGGGCTGAAAAAGCTCATGTTCTCACATGTAGCTTCAGTCCAGAGCAGGGCCTGGACTAACACAAGCTCTGTTTTCACAGTCCTTCATCTTGGGACAGTTTGAATCCTAACTCAATCTCTTTCTGCAAGGACACCTTGTGAGCAGCACACCAGAAACAGCTCAGCTTTCCCCTCACCTCACTGCTGCAGCATTTCTAAAAGCGTAGGCAATGTCCACAGCTTGAGAGGTAGCCCAGGTGTGTTTGTGCTTGAGAGCATGCAATGTGCCCAGCATGTGCAAAAACTGCTCTTGACTCTCCTTTTTGGAGCAGGGGCTCCAGCTTCTGGTAGGAAATTCCTGAGCACAGCCTAAAGCTGGAGTGAGGTCACCTCCCAGCCTTGGGTGGCAGCTCCATGCAGCTCCTGCCTTGGTCCGAAGCATTGTGAGCCAGGCTGCTGGATTTAGTCCAGCTTAGAACTCTTCAATCAACTTGAAGAATCAAAAATGAGATACCAAAATGATGCTTTTCCAAATTTCACTCTATCTGCTGCATTGTACTAATGTACAGCTGGGGATATTTTCAAGCCTGTCTCTTCTGCTTAGAAGTGAGGAGGAGATGTCAGAATGTTATCTAGACTTTCCTGTAAGTGCTTGTTTGTTTACAAAGCTGCCTCCAGATGCTTTGCCTTAAGAATATGTGTTTGACTTTAGTGTAGATTATCCATAAAATAGATTGAATCACTCTCATATCTGTTGTGATGTGGGAGTTCCTATCAAGAAAAATCTAAATGTTAAAGAATATATTAAAATAGATCTCTCCTCTACCAGGCACATCAAGTAATGTAAGCACTGGTAGGACTCCATGTGGGGAAAGTTCCAGAATTAGCATAACTTTCTTAGTAATTTGTCTTAAATTTGCTTTCTCATTGTCTCACAAATGGAATTTTAAGTATTATTGCAGAGATAATCAAGGCTTCCTTAGAAGCACATGCCATCTTTGGCTGACAATCAGTACAGCAGCAGTGTCCTCAGGCCTGCTCTGTGGCTTTGGGCTGGCCACTCCAGAGGAGAAGGTGACCTGTGTGTGGCTGTCCTCCAGCCCTCTGACACCCCAGACCTTGGCTTTGAACAGCAGCTGCAGGAGAAAGTCACAGAGTCCCAGCACATTCAGTACAGAGCCAAGGTCTAATGAGCAGCTTGTGTGGCTGTGTCTCCACCAAATCCCTCTCCTCAGAGAGAAATTTGGAGTTTTAGCAGATGATGGCCCAGCTCACAGGCTCTCAGTGAGCTGAGGGACCACTGAGTTTGGTTACTCAGCTTTGTGGTTTTACCCCTCTATCTCCCACATTCCCCCTCAGAAATGGCACAGAGAATGAGCAGAAGCCAAAACAAACAAAACCTGCCCAAATTCAAGCTCATGCACAAGAACCTCACTCCCTTATGGTGCAACTAATCAGTATTAATGTGTTCAGTATAGCCCACCCAATCTGCCTCCATTGCCTTCTGGCAAGACAAAAATAGGTGTTACTGTGAAGAAAAGAGTGTGGATGTATTTTATGTGTCATCTATCTGCTATATCAAATGGAGGCAATCAAGAGGAGACATAGCAGAAGGCAGAAAAGGGGTTTTCAAGCAGAATCACACAAAGGTAACCACTGTGGTCTTCACATTTTATTTTGTTTCCTTTGGTTATAATTTCAAACTGACTGATTCCATGGCTTTGATATAACTTCTGGTTTTTATGTGAGTACACATGAGAGAGGAAAAACTGAGAGACTTTGGCGTGGAATGTGGACCCTGGAAAGTAAGCAGCATGTTTTTTAAATTGCAGAGTCCAGTGGGGAATGCCTCTGCTAGCTTGGTGTGCTCAGGAGAGCCCTGACATAAATGAACTGTGTTGGACCAGCAGTCAGTCAGCAGTGCACAGAAGTACAACTGAGGCATGGGAATAAAAGCCAGGAACTGCTTTTATAGGAATGCTGTTTGTAGCTGAGTGAAAGAAGGCAGGAAGGATCAGCTTTCCATGAGAAGGGAGTGCTGTTAAAAAAATTGATGATAAAACTGTAGAAAAATATAATTTTTCATTTTTGCTGTTGAATTCTGGAATTCTCCAGCTGATCTTCCATTAGCCACTGTTAGGGAAGCAGGATGTTCCTGGGATCATTTTGAGGGCATCCAGATTCCTCACCATTCAGGGACTGATAACACACTACAAACAGGAACAATGCTTCAGACCACTGTGATTTTGCACAGGTTTTTGTGAGCTGCTTTCAAAATGCAATCCCAAAGGATTCTTTCAGACTCTGATTGTTAATTTATTTCCTTATCCCCCCACCCTCCATTCCACTCTGTGCAGGGAGCAGGCCCAGAAGACTTCAGCAATCTCCCACCTGAGCAAAGAAGGAAGAAGCTTCAGCAAAAGGTCGATGAACTAAACAGGGACATTCAGAAAGAGATGGATTCAAGGTGAGTCAAACCCCTCCAATGAAAAGTGAAATTGCACTGAGCAGAGCCCTTGTGTGGGATGGATGTGGGTACATCCCAGCAGGAGAGGCTGTTTTGAGATGATGGCATCATCCAAACTCAGATTTGTAGCTCAGATTTCCTGGAAGCAGGAAGATAATGACTCCTGTGCTTCTGTGAATGCTTTTTCTACACGGCTGCATTTATCATTCTGGTTGAGAATAAGGCTATTTTAGCTACACACTTTAATTGATTCTGGCAGCCTGTATTTGTGCTTTGTGTTTGTTCACATTCTGTAGTTGCATTAAAGATTCAGCCTGTTTTGTTTGTGAGACACAGAACTTTTCTTCCCTGGAGGATTTCAAGACTGGTCTCTTCCTAAATACTGCTTTGCATTTGTACACATCTGCCTACATTTTGTGTCAGCTTGCTTTCAAAAACCTATTTATTTTGCCTACTAACCCAGAATTTCTCCTTTCTATTTTCTATCATAGATAAGAAAAGAAAATTGCACATGGTTATATGATTTCTCATTGCTTTATTTTTTTCTTCTGTGGTAACTTAGGTTTGCCTTTGTGCAGGTTTTTCTTTCTGTTCTGTATTGATTCTGAGGTAACCCAACATTAAATCAGATATGGAATTGCAGCAGAGTGAAGTTTAAATGAAGACAGTTTATGATGGAGAAAATAGCACCAGCAGTTAAATAAGAGTTAAACAAACAGTAATAATTGTGAGTCATATGTTTGCAACATTGTCCCTTAGGGCTTCAGGCACAGAGCAGTCCCACTTCCTTGCCACCCACTCTTTTTCCCAGTTTCCCCACACACAAGGCAAAGGCACAGGATTGCAATTGTCAGGAGTTTGGTGGGAAACTCTAAAGCATAAAGAGTGTTAACTTGAGCCGTGGGACTCTCATTAACCTCTCTCCCACCAGCTAATGCTTAGAGAAAATCTGAATAGTTGTGCCTAAAACCAGCCACAATTCCATTTTCAGGTCTGAAATGTCCATCAGAGCTGAGAGGAGCTGCCCTGGGACTTGGCCGGACACGGGGTCACATTTTGTAGCCTCAAGTCCATCTGTCTGTCCCTGTGCTGTGGCAAACACAAACCATCTGCAGCCAGCTTCCTTTTAAGCAGTGTGAAACAAATAAATATCTTTCAGATTATTTGGGTTGCTAAAGACAAGCTGCAACAGGCAGGGTGAGAATTTCTTGTTTGCCCTCAGTTTCTGTTATTGATACATCTTTGTTCCACTTTCTCAACTGGAGGTCAGCCCATGATGGATGATAATGATTCAACTATTTGTCCATGCCCTGAAAACTGGGAAGATATTAGTGTAGGAATTTGGAGCTGTCATAGGTTGCAATGGTTGTGAGATTTATTATTATTATTCTCCCCAGGGGAGCAAGTAGGTACTGTTGTAGTACATAAAAAACCATGTCAGGCTAAAAATCAATATCAAATATCTTCTTACCTTGTAGGTAACTCACTGTTTTTTATCTCTAACAATGTAAATTCTCTTCTGGCAAATAATTTTACTGTTCTTTTTCAATGGCTGGTTCTATACAGGGCAAAAGCCCCATCTGGATGTTGTCAGTTCCCTTTGTAACAGCTTAGGTTGAACCTCAGAGTGAAGAACAGACAGTTTACTAAAGGCATTTACCCCCAGCTGCACTAAATGTGTTTGGTTTTTGTTGTGCCCCTCAGAGATGCCTTAACAAAGATGAAAGATGTGTACATCAAGAACCCCCAGATGGGAGATGCAGCGAGCGTGGACCACAGATTGGCAGAGCTGGGGCAGAACATTGAAAAGCTGCGATTAGAAGTTCAGAAATTCGAGGTATGAGAAGAGATATTTCAATTAAAAGCAGCTCAGCAAATGCCCAGGTCTGAGCAGGGCCTTCCTGGCTTTTCCAGATGTTTTGATGCACTTTGGTGTGTGAGGGCAAGGGCTATGTGAGCACTTGCATTAATTGGGGTCTTTGAGCTGATTTGTGTAACACAAACATGAACATCTCCTGTGGCACTCAGCCCACAGTTAAATTTGCCACAGGAAACAAACTGTGCTAAGTGGAGGTGAAGAGAAAATGTAGTGCCCTCTGGACTGCCCAGAGAGCTTCAGATGCTTATTTAATTAATTAAATAGATTGAAGCATCATGTTACAGACCTCTGTGGAAAATCAGAGTGACATAAATGCAAAGCACCATTTAGAGACTAACAGCAAGACAGAAGCCATCAGATGAAATATGTTTTGAGGAGTAGTCTGCCATGAACAGGAAGCTGCTCCGTGATATAAAATCTCCAGAACAGAAGGGGAGTGTTTGGAATATATGAAGCCCATTATAATTACATGAGAAGGCTTAGACAGCTGAGAAAAGACTTCACTTTCTACATTATGCTTTGAACATAAACAGATACAGCCCATTAATTTCAGATGTGGTTTTACTATCCATTGCTTTCCTACCCGTTTGAAATCAGTGGCTCTTTCATTCTCCCCAGCTTTTGTTCTTGTGCATTCAGCAGTTGCTGAGTTTCTGGTGTCACTCAGACTGCTCTAAGCAGCCACACATCATTTTACTGGATTGTGACTGGAGCAGCATCATCTCCTGCTGGCTGTTACCTGCTTCTCTAATCTCAGGGTGTTTCCAGGACCCAGTGCCAAAAAACAGTTGCATTTCCAATAAGATTGAATAACTCAAAGGAAAACGTGAACATGCTTACAAACCAGTCTGTGCTCTATAGCCTGGGTGTCAGGAGTGCCCCAGCAGGGTGAGCACTGTCTGTGTGTCCGTCTGTCCGGCAGGGCTGGCTGGCAGAGGTGGAGGGGCGGCTGCCGGCACGGAGCGAGCAGTCCCGGCGCCAGAGCGGGGTCTACGAGGCCCAGAACGCATCGGGAGTGAACAGCTGTGCCCAGGACAGGGAGAGGTACAGTATCTGAACGGGCTGGGGCTCAGCAGAGCCTCTGCAGGCACAGCCAGGGCTCTGCAGCCTCCTCCTGCCTTACCCTGCCTCAAATTGCTGCTTTCTGTGATGAGCTGTGTGACAGCCCCCTTGCTCACTGCTGTGAGCCAGTGCGTTTTTACAGCTTTTAATGGTAAAAATGAGGGTTCTCACTTATCTTAGCCAGCTCCAAGCAAGCTCTGGAATCACTGAGCTGCTCCAGCTGGAGTTGCTCCCCTTGCCCCAAGCCTGGTGACCGAGTGGTTCTCTCTGCTGCTGAGGTTGGTTGCTATAGTTGCTGTGTTTTTCCTCTCTTGAGCAGCCCCGATGGCAGTTACACAGAAGAGCAAAGCCAGGAGACTGAGATGAAAGTACCTGCAACAGACTTTGATGATGAGTTTGATGATGAAGAACCACTACCCACCATAGGAACGTGTAAAGCTCTCTATACATTTGAAGGTATCACTCAAACTTTACCCTCATTTCTCTGACTGTGACCGTGTTCACAGGGGTCCAAGGAAGAGGGAAGAGATGAGGATCTGACTCCATGTTCCAGAAGGCTTGATTTATTATTTTATGATATATATTATATTAGAACTATACTAAAATAATAGAAGAAAGGATTTCATCAGAAGGCTGGCTAAGAATAGAAAAAGAAGGAATGAATAACAAAAGCTTGTGGCTCAGACAGAGAGTCTGAGCCAGCTGGACTGTGATTGGCCATTAATTAGAAACAACCACATGAGACCAATCCCAGATGCACCTGTTGCATTCCACAGCAGCAGATAACCATTGTTTACATTTTGTTCCTGAGGCCTCTCAGCTTCTCAGGAGAAAAAAATCCTATGGAAAGGATTTTTCAGAAAATATCATGGCTACACTCTGGCTGGGGTTTTTCAAGTTTATTTGCCAAGGGCAAGTGGGAAACCTTCATTAAACCTTAAATAGCCAAAGGGCAAGTGAGGATCTGGTGTGATTCTGCAGAAAGGCACCAAGACAGGGATTTTTCTCCTGTTGCACAGGAGCTCTACAAGAGAAAGAACCAAAACTCTGCTGTCAGGGTCACATTTCTGGTTCTTTATGTACACACTGCTGCCTCCTGAATCACAAGCTTCTGTTCTTGCTACCAGTGATGCACCAAAAGCTGTGTCCACCCATGGTCTGAGTTACTGATTCCTGCTGTGGAGCACAGCCTGAAGTGCCTGTTGCTGTGTGTTTCAGGTCAGAATGAAGGAACAATCTCTGTAGCAGAAGGAGAGATGCTCTATGTCATAGAAGAAGACAAAGGGGACGGGTGGACGCGGATCCGAAGGAACGAAGATGAGGAGGGCTATGTCCCCACGTCCTATGTTGAAGTCTATTTGGACAAAAATGCCAAAGGTGCTATGACCTATATTTAATGCTATTTTTATTGTTTTATTTGCTTTCACAGAGATAAACCAAGCCTGAAGCTGCTCTGTGTTGCAGATAGAGCCTTTTAAGAGTCTGTACAATGCCACCAAGTGCATTATTCCATACGTGGACTAATCATGGCTTGTTGTACTGCAAAATGTGCTTTTCTTGCTCAGAGAAGGGTAGTGTGGGGGACTTCTGAAAGCAGAGGGGAAATGCAGCCTTGCCTGGACAGTGTTTGCTCAACTGTCACTGCCATTGCACGCCCAGCTTAGTGCAGGAAGCACAAAGCCCTTTGGGATCCTTCAGGCTCTCCTCAGATACCCAGGTGGCATCTCAGACTGTTTGTCCCAAAGTCACTTGGTGGAACTTTATGGAGGGAATATTTAGACTGCTGGCTTGTGTCTGTGTGGGAGCTTTACAGAGCCTGTTGTGTTCTGGGGACCTTTTGGATTGAAACCTGGTGGTAATTTAGTTTAGTGTGTGTGGAAGGGGAAGGAGAGGTCTTACCAAACCCCCTCTACACAGCACTCTGTGGTCCCTGATAAATGGGTAAAACATTGAGAAAGCTCCTCTGTTCTTTCCCACCTTGCTACATTTCAGATATATTTGCTGTTGCAGATGACCAGAACTAATGGTTTAATCTTTTGCTTACTTGACATCAATGGAGACATTCAGAGTTTGGACTCTGTAAGCTGCTGTTTGTTGCTTTTAATTCCTCCCAAATGTTTTGTGTAAGGAAGCAGTGCTGCAGGGAAGACCTGGCTGGAGTAAATGCCAGTGCTGAACACCTGGTAATGGGATACATTGAGAAATCAAAAGATTTTAGCCCTGTTTCAAATCAGGATGTGAGAATTCCATTGTGTTAAATAATTTGTGTTTATTCAACCACTTAATCCTTCAGATTATTGTGTTTCCTAGACTTGAGAGTTCTTGGTATGAAACAAGTGGCCTCATCTAAGTCAAAAGCAAACTGAACTATTTTCTTTGAGGTTTATGGGCAGCAGGAAGAGAGGACTAGGACTGTACCCATAAACCAGCACTGAAACCTGGGCAGTTCAGAGTTGGGTTGGGTGTTAATCAGTGCAGTGCCTTGTCTGGACCTTGTTTTATTTTGCCCTAATACAGTAATTTTATGTTCCTGTTGGCAAATACATGCTCAGCTGAGATGCAAAAGAGTGCAAAAAGTTTAGCCCCCTCTATTGGTTTTTATTGACCTGTGAAAGATCCATTCCCCTTTATTGCCAGAACAAGGCTGAAGGATTGGAAATATGGAAACCCAGACTGGTTTGGGTTGGAAGGGACCCTCTCATTCCAACCCTCTCCATCAGAGTAAAAACACAAACTGTGCCAGGGGTGAAGGCTGATACAGCTGCAGCCATGTCTGTAGCCACAATGGAGGTTTTTCAGATCATTTAAAGCTTTTCCATTAATTTTGCTGGATTTCAGGAACAAAATCAAACAGATCTGTGAATATCTAATGTATAGGAACAACAATGTTTACCTCTCAAGTCTCTGGTTTAAAAGAAAAGCTAAAAGAGAATGCTTCAAAGAATGCAGCATAAAGATTTGGAGGAAATGCTGCTGTGTTTAAAAGGTGAACTTTGTTGCAAGCTGCAAATTGATTTTTAAGGTGTTGGTAGAAGTGACTTGATTCAGGCCTTGAAATAGAAGCGATGACATTCCTGAAGAGAACATTGTAAATACTAATGCAAACTTTGCAAACTTTAGTAATCCTTTCCTCTTTTTGGAAGGAAGGTTGAGCAGCTGGCACCACAAAAGGCTGGTGGCAGAAGGAGCTCATAGCAGCCCCTGTGACTGTCGCAGCCAACAGAGCCAGTCCCAGTCCTGGCTCAGCCTTTCCTGCCTGGCCAGGCTGTGTCTGTGCCATGAGCCAGGGGCAGCTCAGTGCCACTGCTCAGTGCTCTCTCAGAAGCTGCTTTTTCACTCAGCTGGAGCCTGTGTTGTCAGGGCTCTGCTGCAGAGCTGAGCTGAGCAGGACAGGTAAGTTGTGTGCTGCAGGTGCCTCCTGATCACAGTCTTAGAGGAGCCAAGCTGGGTCTGTGCCCTGCCAGTCCCTGAGTGAGGGCTCCTGATGACATTTACAGGGGTCCTCTGGTCAGAGAGTGTTGGCAAACCCTGTCACAAAAAGAACAGTAATGCCTATCTTGTTTTGCCTTTTTTTTTTTTTTCCAGATGTGCACAAACCACTTCAGAAAATCTCTGAGTAGGTTTGCATAGGCCTGTCCACCCTTTATTCTCCTGGTTTGCTGCTACGGTTGTTTTAAGAGCTCTGTTTGAGAAGGTTTTCTTTAGAAGAGATGAATGCACATGTCACATCTCCATCACTGAAAGACTTTGTTAGGTATCAGGCTGGCTCTGAAATGAAGGTGCTGCCCTGACTGTGTCCATTTAGTGCAAACAGCACTGTTGTCCTTCTGAATAGAAAGGAGAGCTGCAGGCTCTGCTCCCCTGGGATTCCTGCAGGAGGCTGTTCTGTGCACACCTGGGTGTAGCATCTTGCAGGGCTTTTCTGTACCTGTCTGGTGTCTGGTGCTGAGAACTCAGACACAGGAACTGGTTGGGCCTTTCAGCTCGAGACTGAGCACCCTGTGTCACTGCCTGTGGTACCTCCTCATCTGCTTGGCAACAGAACTGTCTTTCACTGAGGGATGTTGTGAAATCCTGTGACACAAAATTCCTGCATGGAGTGCCCAGCTCTGTGCAAACCCTGCACTGCACCCAGCAGCAAGGCCACGTTCCCTTCCAGCCAAAGCCTGGCTGTTTGTGTGGGGGCATGCAGGAGTGGAGGCTGCTTGGGGAGCTTGAACTCCTTGATAAAAACTATTCTGGAGCTGTGGGCTGATGAGCATTTTGGCTCCTGTTCCCCCTCATCTTTGATGATATCAGTGATTCCTTATGGGCAGCTCTGGCATTCCCAGTGCTGCAGCTCTGCTCTTTGCTGTAACCATCATGCAGAGCCTTGACTTATAGAAATAAATAGGTAAAAGTTAACCATGCTGATGCACTTTTTATCTAGGATATATCTGATTATTTAATGCTTGCCAAATTATTTAGGAATTGGTAATTATAAACTGGACTGTGGCTTTTTAAAATCCTTTTGTTAAATACGTGCCCTTAGTTCTCCCAGTATATAAAAAAAATTGTATATAACATAACTTAAAGACTAAAGTTACTTGAATTTGAATTGTTTTTATCCTTTTATATGTGTATAAATATGAATGGTTTTATAGGCTGTTCTTCTGCTTAACCCAGCTGTTTTGGTAACTGCTCAGTCCCTCTGATGTTGATAAGTGGTTTTGGTTACTCAGCTGCCTGCACCTGGACTTGCATAGGAGCTGCTGTTGTGTGTTAAGGTTTGTTCAATCTGGCCAGTGTGGTTGTCTTGTTTCCATTCTTATTTTTTAAAGAATCATCATCTGTCAGGAATCTCTTTATAGCTTAATGTACCATGGTGTCTTCTTCTAATAAACATTATATTTTCTCATTCCTGTGAGGTTTTGGCTTTTGAGTTTTTTTAATGACAGTAACTAGTAGATGGCAATGATTAGTGGCAAAAAATAGTGGCATTTAACTTTGCTAAGGGACAGCAAATGGCCCAGAGCTGCTTCTCACTCTCAGCACAAATTAAATTCTTCTCAACAAAAATATTTTATTGTGGCTCTTTGGAAACTTCTTTGTGCTGTCATTTGGAAGGATTTGATGGAAGTGGGTGCAAAGGGGGTGAGAAGGTTCCCCTGGTTCCTCAAATGCAAAGGAAGTTTGGACTCATCCTGTATTCCCTTGGATACAGCAGTTTGGGCCAAATCACGTCCTGGATTGTGGCTTCACTTGGCCAAAGGCAAAACTTGTCCTCAGCCCCCAGTCTGTGGGAACAGGCATGGCCAGAGGAGGCTTTGGAGGCTTGGGCTGCTTCACTGACCTGCATATTCCTGGCTTCCCTTGAGAAAGAAAGGCCTCTGCAGCCTGTGGTGGAAAGGAAAGCTCTGGATCCCTCTGCAAATTCTTTGATTTAATTTCCTGTTGTTGTTCAGTGTCACTGATGGTCTCTGGAGCTGTCACTTGAACAGATGCAGTGCTGCTTTGCTGACAGAAAATGAAAAAGCTGTTTGTTTGCTCAGTGGCACGAAGCAGGTGCTGGCAGGGTCCTGGCCCTGTGCTTTCCTCCCAGAGCACAGCAGAATCCCAGGGATGCTCATCCAGGCTGGAGGGAAGGGCTGAGGGTGCAAGGTTTCTGTCTGAGTCAGGAGCCTTCCTAAGCCCTGTAACCCAGTAGATGCTTCATTGCTTTATTCCTTTAACCTCCTGCAGGCAGAGCTGCTCTTAAGGGACCCCGTTTCCCCCAGCCTCTTTCTAATCCAGTCTCTTTCTTTTTGTCTTTCTTATGTTTTAGATTCCTAAAGGTGTTTGTGCTGGTGCAAGAACCTCGGGGCGAGCTTGTCACAGAAGGAGAAACAAAATGGTCTGTTTACCCTGCAGGCAGTTAAAACACACCCATGGAAAGCCAGACTCCCACTCTTGTCTGGAGTTCCCACTTGAAAAATTCAGACCTAAATTCCATCCCAGTACCATTCAGATGCTTGCTCTTTTCCATGGCATGCTACTTGTGGCTCGGATTTCCTTATCAGCCTCTCCCACTCTTCTGCCAGCCTGGCACAGCCCCTCTGTCAAACATAACACACACTTCTCCCAGCCCAGTCCCTCCCAACTTCTGTCAGAGATCTGCTGGCTGCCCTTGGACAGCCAGAGAGTCCCAAGCATGTTCTGGTCTGTCCTCTGTCCCCTTGTCCCTCAGTCCATCTGGATGTGCACACTGGTCCATCAGCATTCACGTGGTGCCTTCAGTGCCAGACCTGCAGGTTCCTCTCACCAGAGAGCCTGGGAAGGAGGTGGAAAACCTCCCTGGACAGTGTCACAGCAGCTGGACTGGGCTCTCAATCTGTCACTATTAAATCTGATCCACATGCATCATTCAACATTCTGCCTTCCCCAAAAGGTCACTAATACTTGTCAGCCTTTATTTCTCTTTTTCCAAATCCAGGCTGATGCTCATTCCAGGTATTAAACCCCTCTGACCCTGCTGTTTCCTGAAACCCTTCAAGCTCACGTATGTACTTGTTTTCCTGCTTGTTCTGTCTGCCCCCTCCTGTGTCCCTGCTGTTCCTCACACACACACAGACACACACAGACACAGACAGTGGCATTTTGGTTGGCAGCCCTTGCTGCTGCTGCTCACAGCCCAGTTTGGCTCTGGTTTCAGCCTGCATGCTCGCCCTGTTGCCTTGCCTGCGCCCACCTTCCTCAGGGTCACGTTATTTTGTGGCTCGTGGTTTAATCTCTCTGCAGTTTTCTTTTGGTTGGTTTGTTTTTCAGCATTTCAGACCTGCCTTCTCTTTTTTGCATGACCTCCTGTGCGTTCTCATCAGTTCATGTTGGAATAACAGAGTTTTTTTAGATAAATAAAAGAGGAAAGAAAAAAAAAAAAAAAGAAACTGCACTGTTTCCTTCTCCCATCTTGTCATGGACTGGACCTGGACCCAGCAGCCAGACAGGAATTGTGACCACCCTGTTCTCACATGCTTTGGTTTGAAGCAGAAGTAGGATAAGTGATTCTGCACTTTATCATGTCATACAGTGGTAAGAGAACTACAATATCTCCAAAAACCACATGATCTGGACTTCAGCTGCCTAACAAAGGGTTAATTCCCTCTCTAAACTTCTACAAACTTCTATATTCTAACTTGGTTTCCCCTGAATTGTTACCATTGCTTGGGTTTTGCAGTCATGGACATGTTTGAGCCCTGCAAGAATCAGTTGCCACTAAACAGCTCCTGAGGGCCAAATTAATTCATGGATCCACACCTTGTTTGGGGGAATCTTCTGGCTCCAGTCCAGCTCCAGCATATTCTGTACAATCCCCACAAGTTGAGAAATGTTACATGGACGCCACTCTGGGCAGTGACCCCAAAATGAAACCTCTCAGGGTTTGTTTGCAGGCAGGTGGGTGTTGTTCTGCTGCCTGCTGGGCTGTCCTGCAGGGTCAGCACATCAAAACACAGCCCAGAATCTCAGAGTCTCTGTGTTGGGGATGAGGTGATCTTTGAGCTGGGTTATGTGTGGTGTTCATAGTTCTGTCCCTTTCTCTCCATTTAAGATGCCAACTTTTGTTTTTACCAAGTCCCTTGGTGCTACAGTACATCCTGTAGCTGTTGTGTGATGGTGCTTAAGAGTTGCCAGCATGAACCAGCAGAAGGTTTGTGATTTAAACCCAACCCAAATGTGCTGGGGCTGTTCTGCTGCAGCACTGGAGGGTCAGAACCCATAAATCACTGCCTTACCCCTGCTGCTGCTGTGGTCACTGAGCTGTTCAGATCAAGAGCAGAATGGGATCCCCCTGGTTGGCACCTGTGGCTTTGTGGGCTCCACTGCCAGGGGATCTAAAGGGTTGAACAATTAACAGGTGTGCAAAAATATCCTTAAAATATTTTTAGCTGCAGTATTTTTATTCTCGTGTCCAATGCACTGTTGAATCAGCAGCTAAGAATTCACTTTCACCTATTGTTGTGCCATCTATGTAAAAATTAGATCAAAGTTTGCTTTTCTATATTTAATCTGGGTGGACAGTATATTATTGTCAGCCTCTGTGGAACATTGGAACAATTGCAATGTCTGTGTTTCGAAATTGTGCTGTAGAAGGAGCATTAGCTTTAGCTGACTGATTGATTCCTGAAGTTTTAATAAAAGACCATGTATGGAGTTTTTATAAACTTGGCAAGTAGTTCCCAAAAGCCTGGATCTTAAAACTTATTTAAGGAATAGTCACAGTCATATCTCATAGTCTGCACATGTTTATTCTGCTGCTGTTATTCAGGGTAATGAATAATTTTTGTAGAATTTACCTTTGGCAAATGCTGAAGAACTAAATATGTGACTGGTTTATAAAAACTCTGCTTGGATTTACTAATCTTGCCCAGCAGCGTGGACTGTACATCCTATGAAATTTCATGATCCCCAGCAAAAGTCTCTAATGCCCTTTCTTAACACCTGTAAATAGAGAAGAAACATATTTACTGATACTCAAAGTTGTGTTTAATGCTGAGTATTTTTCAGAAGTTCATTTAGTTTGATGCATATTGTTCTTTGGTTTTTTGTTTTCCTGCCTGAAATGACAGAAGACCTAAAAGAAGCCAAATTCTATTTTAACATGATGATGTCGAGCACTTTTTTATTTGTATATGTGTGTGTATGTGTGTTTGAGCACTGATCTCGAGATCTTGGTGGCATCTCAGTGTTGTGATTTCATTGCCAATGTAAAAGGTTCTGGTGTTGCCCATTCATTTCTGGAGACAGAATTCAATCAAATAAAGTGCTTCCATTTGAAAGCGAATATTGACCTTGTAGCAATGAAACAAAGTCATCTGCATATTTAAATAAACATTTAATTCCAGAAATACAGTTTCACTGGACCCTTTTGATCAGCCAGATAGGAGGAAAAATGGATTTGTTGCTTTTCCCCCCAACAGAAGAGTTGGTGTCTCTTTGCTGGGGCTCTCGGGGCTGTTGAGGTGCAGCCATTGCTCTCCAGGAGCTGCTGCTTCCCTCATGTGTCCAGTGGAGAGAGGGAATTTGAATTTGCCTGTGGCTGCTGCTTCAGCCACAGAGAAATTCAGGCTAAAACTCCCCAGAGCTGCTCTCTTACTCCTCATTATTCTTCCTGACTCTGGGGTGGATTTGGGTTTTGCTTCCAGCTGTAAAATGTACATGGAACAAGTGGCTCAACACATTCCAGTGTGGTGCTGTTCCTGGTTCTCTCCTCAGAAAAGTGAGGACACATTTTCACCTGTGGTACCTGTTGGTTTTGTATTTTATTTTATATTATTTCCTACTGGAATTTTCAGGAGTAATAATTTGGCTCTGTCTGTACCTCTGACTGTCCCACAGAGCTGGGTCCCATCAGGTCACTTTCAGATTTGATTTTCTCAAACTTTGACCTTTCCAGCTGGCACTGAAGAGAGAATGAAGTGGTTGGGTTGTTTGTTTGTTGTTTTTTTTTAACTTAGAAAGGAAAATGGGCTGTTGTGGCTGGAGCTGGTGTTGGGAAGGGCAGGTGGTTTGTGCTTTTTCAGGAGGAGCCTATCAGAACTGGGAACCTGGGGGAAAGATTGCATCTAAAGAGAGATCTGTACCATGGAATGCCTGTGGTGAATGCTCTGGTTTAGCTGCAAGCCTTGGCAGATGATTTTGATGCTGATTGGTTTTGTATTAAAACTCAGGCTGTTGCAAGCCTGGTAAGGAATGGTTTGGGCAGGGATGTGTGGATGTGCACGTGTGTCCAACACAGCAATGCCTCCTTCACCAGGTAATCCAAAAAGCAGGCACATTTCTGGGACTCTGGCTGAGGTGTACAATTCCATTCTGGTGTGCAGGGTTGTGAGTAATGTGTGTGTGTCTCTAGCTGAGAGAAAAGCCCCCAGCTCTTGGCCAGCTTCTCCATCACCCCTTGGTCCAGGTCACTGCAAAGAGCCCATCCAGGAGCCAAGATTTGCAGTTTTCCCACTCAGTAGGTGACACCTGGTGCTCCTTTCATCTGACAAATAATCTAGAGATTATTTTTGTTTCATACAGTCAAGCTGCTACATTTCTTCAGCAGGATTTCAGTTGTTCTTTGCCAGCACTAATTAACATCCCTGTCAGCTCAGGACAGATCAGGGCTGTTTGTGACAGGCTGCTGGTCTTTGGTTTTGGGCAATAATGAATAGGAGGGGGTGTTCCTCTGGCTCTCACTTGGATTTATCTTTCACAGAATCAGCACTGCTGACTTAAAATAGAAAAGGCACAACCAAAGGGGTGGGGGAGAGCTGGGGGTGTAGAGCTGAGCAAAAAGGGAGAAAAAAATGAACTAAGGTTTTTGTGTGGAGTGTTTGTGTGACAGTCACAGCAGAGCAATGGCTCTGCTCCCAGGAACAGGAACACAGGAACTCAGCTGAGGGCAGGGAACAGATAATCTGACACTGAGCTTTGCTCCATCAGTCCCCACTGCATGAACAGTTCTTTCTGCTCCCCTTTTTTGCAATTAGCAAAGGAACCTGATAAAAAAGGGGGGAAATTATTTGCAAAGTGAACTGATAAGAGATCAGCATTGGCACTGGCTCCCAGAGCTGTCTGAGGTGTGCTCAGAAGTGCCACAGTGGAGCTGGAGGAAAGCAAGGCAGCAGTTAGAGCTCAGGTGAAATCAGGATGCAGAGCAGAGCTAACCCAGAGCAGTCAGGGCTTTCCCTGGAGCTGTTTGTGGACCCTGAGCAGTCCCTGAGGGCAGTTCTTGGTGTCTCTGGGAAGTCTGGAGCTGTTCAGTTGCTCAGGTGAGAGATTTCTTTGGAAGAGCCAAGTTTGGACAGCTGACTCCAAGCTGCTCAAGTACAAACTGCATGTTCTTATTACCCAGCTCTGCTTCTTCAAACACCTCAGGCTCCAGCTGAGGCTGCAGCACTCGCTTGGGCAGGGAATTCCTGCTGCTCCAGCCCCTGGGGCTGCTTTAGAAACTGTAAATTCCCAGTGCCAGAGCCTGGTGTTCCCTGGGAACAGGCTGCTGACTGTGTTACCAAGGCAGGGGAATGGACCAGCAGGGATATTTGGCCACAAAACAGCGACAGGAAACTCTTGTAGAATCCTGGAACAGCTCAATGAAACTTCAACTCCTTCCCTTGCAAGTTACTTCCAGGATAACAATTCCAGGATAACAACATTGTCCATGAGCAGCACATCCAGACCCCCCAGGTTTTCTGAGGCACTCTCAGGTGCAATGGGGTTTCTGAAAGGTGAAGGGAGGTCTGAAGGGGCACAGGATGGTTTAGTGGCCTCAGACTCCTCTTGCTGAAGGATCTGTCCCCACACAGCCTCTGCTCAGCAGGAAGTTTGGATTTTATTTTACATTTCATTTTTTTTTCTTCCTTCCCCCCCCTGCTCCCTGGAGCTGTCAGCCCCTCTCAGCAGGCAAGGCAGGCCTTGTTGAATGCACATGTATTTATTGTACCACTTTCAGCACAAGGTCTAACACTGAAGCACAGGAGTGTCATTACAGTGTGTACAGCACCCTCTGGAACACAGACAACACGGACATGCAGCCCTGCAGGCTCTGCAGCACAGCCCAGGGCTGCTGCACTGGGGAATAAAGACAGCTTGGAACAATGAGACTCTCAACAGTGGCTCATTCTCTGACCTCCCCTAGGGTCTGGCTGGCTCTAAACAAGCATCCCATGAACAGAACTGTAAAATTAACATGCTGAATCAATTATAGACAGTTTTTAAAGAAGTTGCTTTATGCAACAAATATTTGATCTAAAACAAAAAAAAAAAAACCCAAAAAAAAAAAAACAAACCATGAAGGCCACATTTTTCTTCTCAAATTCTCCTGTCCTACCCCCTTCTATCTCTAAGTCAAGGAGCAGCCTTTCCCTCCCTCCCATTTTTTGTGAGGAGCTCAGGAGGTCCCAGCTCCATGCAGGACAGACTTGGTGCTGTGGAATCACCCACACCATGAACAGAATTTGGCTCCTCAGGCCCAGCTCTGCCTCCATTAAACTGCTCTCAAAGCCTTGCAAAGATTCAACTCTTGGCTTGCTGCAGGATGAACAAAAAGCATGTTAAGAATGGCCCTGCTGAGGAAAGTGGAGTTGGGCCTTTTTTGCCCTCATTTCTGTCTCTGCTGCATTGGTGGCAGCAGAGCTGGGAGCAAATGTATTCAATGAGCCACTGTACACACAAAGGACATCTGGAATGACCTCAGCACACAGGTGGGGCTTGTTTGCACAAAGAGCTCGTTCCTAAAAGCTGCTTCACCAGCCAGGCCCCAGCCCCAGGTGCCCCCTCAGGAGTGAACAAAGGGGCCCCTCCTCAGCCTCACCCCCTCAGCAGCTGAGGGCAGACAGACACAGGCTCAGGGCAGGGCCAGCCTGAAGAAGGCTTTGGGAAGGAGGAGCCTTCCAGCTTTGTTGTCCAAAAATGTGCTGAACATAGGAGAGCAGACACAAGGAGAAAACAAAATTCTGCAGGATCATGAAGGTGTGGGTTTGTGAGTGAAAGGAGAAGGGAAGAGCTTCTTTCCAAATTTCTTAATTGACTGCAACTGAATTTGCAAGAATTCAATAAAGAGCAAAACTAGGGAGTTGTGACAGCACCACCAGCACAAAACCACAGGAGACCCCATGGCTTTACTCAGACTCAAACTCAGGTTTCTCTGCTTGCACCACTGCCTGCTGGAAACATAAATAATGTCTCATCTTTACATGTTTGAATTAAAAAGAGAAGTGCCAAAAGCAAAACCTGCAAGGAGCAGAGCTCAGTGCACTGGGGCCAAGCTGGGAGCGCTGGTTTGGTGGAAGCAAAGGAAGGGAGAGGGCTCAGGTCAGGACAAGCCTGTGACCATGGCTGCAGCCAGAGGGGAGGTGCAGCTCTGTGCCAGCCTCTCCCAGCACCACCCCGTGCTCAGAGCCACATGAGAGGAGGAGGAGGAGGAGGAGGAGGAGGAAGCCTGCCTGCACACACCTCGAGTCCCAGCCAAGGGAGGATTCCCAGCCTCCCGTCCCCACAGCGGTACCTGTGCGTCCCTGCCCTGCCCCTCTGCACAGATCACACTGCTCGTGTCTCTGCTTCGATCTTCTGCTCCCCGTGGAGGTTTTCCAGCTCCTGCACCTGGGCCACGTTCTGTCTGATGGCGATCTCGGGCCCCCCTCCGTACAGGGTGCTTAAATAAACCCAGGTCTCCTCGGAGATCTGCCCGTAGTCAGCACCTGGAAGGGAAACAGCGATCACCGGATGCAGCAGGAGGGAAAGGTCAGGGCACCACAACGCCAGGATTTCCCCTCCAAACAGCTCCCCACAAAGGCCCATCCCAGGAGGAGGAGGAGACACCGGTGGTCCCTCCACAAAGCCCCTGCAGTGCCACCTCCTGCTGGAAGCACCGGTGTGTTCTCCATTAATCCATGTCCACAAGCACCACATCTACACATCTTTTACATCCCTCCTCTTCCAAACTCTGACAGCCCTTCCCATATAGAAATTTTTCCTAATATCCAATCTAAACCTTGCCAGGCACTACCTGAGGCTGTTCTAACTTTGGGAACTGGACCACAACAGATGCTGAGAGAAGACCACATCAAAAGCAACACAAGATCAAAGCTCCAGCACAAAGGGGAGTGGTGGAAGGGGCCTGGGGAGCAGCAAGGCAGGAGCTGGGGGTCTGCAGAACCAGTCAGCAGCAATCTGGGCAGGCAGGAGCTGCCACTGGAGGACTGGCTCACTCAGGGCAGGGGCAGGGTAGAGAATTGTCATCCTCTGCAACACCATCTTGCTCTGTGATTTCATTATGCACAGCCAGATCCAGTGGAACAGTCTCCTTTACCTTTTAGGAGCACCTCGGGCAGTAAGCACCAGCCTTACCCTGCTTGACTTGCACGTGGCCACCTGGTTTTGTGAGAGCAATCTTGGTGTTGTCAATTGGTCCTGGGGGCTCTGTAGGAGAACAAACATGTCAAAAACCATCTGATTTCCTTGCTGCCTCCAGATTCAGATGCTTTCCTAATTTCTCTTGGTCATTTTTGTCCTGCCCTGGGGACCTGCAGGCAGCCCCAGTGGCTGGTGCCTGAACCCTGCCCAGCTTTGTCACCCCAGCCAGGGGCAGTGCTCAGCCCAGACCCAGCAAATGGACTCATTTCCATCCCCCCTGTCCCCCTGACAGACCCCAGTGTCTGATCCTTACCATTATCCTTGCCCTTGACAAAGGCCTCCCACTCCCGGAACCACTGCATGCTGATACAGTAGATGACACTTGGAGACTCCTCTGCCTGGAAAGCCTTGTTCAGCTGGGACAGAAACAGAAAGGACTCAGCCACTCCTGAGATCTTGGGGGGCCCTTCCATTAACTGTAAGGCCAGTTCTGCAGAAGAACCCCATGGAATTCCCTCCTCACCCCCTGTTCTGCTCACAGAGCAGGCACAAGACAAAGATGGTTTCACAATTTCTGTCTGCACAGCACTGCCATGCCCCAGCTGCCCCTCTGCACTGGGGAACCCCCAGGCCAGACTCCTGGCTGTGCTGCAGGTCACATTCTGGAAAACAGGCACTTTTCCAGGCCTGCCTTCCCCAGCCCTGCCCTTTGCCTTGCTCCAGGTGCTTCCCATGCCAACCTTGATGAAGGTGTCGATTTCGATCCTCCTGCGCTTGGCCAGGGCTTCGATCTCCACTTGGCAAATGGAGCACACGTACAGATGGTTCACAGCAGGGCCACCCCCAAACCTGGGCACAGGGAGAGGCAGGGCAATGGAGAACTGCAGCAGAGTGGAAACTCTTCCCAGCCCTACATCCTACTGACAGGGATTTTTATACCACTCCAGACACTGCTGAGGGAGGTGCATCTGCAGCTAAGGGCACAGAGCTGCCTTTACTCAGCCATATTTTCCTCTTCTGGCTCATCTCTTGCTATCTTTTTGGGACAGGCACTGATACAGCTCATCCTTACATCAGGACACTCTACAAACACTGGGAGAAAGAATGGAATGGCCATATTCACCTGTTGTAGAGATATTCCCACACGTTTTGGGGCAGAATCACAACCAGGTCATCAATGTAATGGTATTTATTAGGAGGGATCCCTGTGGAGGAAAGGCAAGTGGAAGAGTTAATCAGGGATCTCATTACTGCTGTGTACAACAGACACAGATAAGAAGGCAGATTTTCCATTCTGAGAACTCTGATTCCAGAGTCTGCATTCTTTCCTAATGGAAGACAGAAGTCATAAGTTCATTAACTGTGGAGGTTTCTCAATCCACGGCCCTAATTTCCAATCAAGTGCTTCATTTCCAATTTAGAAGAGAGATTTACAAACACTGAGTGCTCCCCAGCATGGCTGATTAAACAGCAGCAGGCAGATGTGCTATCAGGTCCCTTCTCTAAACAAACCCCGAGGGCCAGCCCTGCTGACAGGGTAACACAGATAAACCCTGCCCTATCTGCTTTCTACAGGTTTGTTTTTAAACACAGAGAACTGAAAACTGTTGTTTCCCAGCACTAAACATCCCCCCAGGCCTCCAACCAGCAGCACAATGGGTAATTGTCTCATCCCTCCCTGAGCAGGCTGGAGTTTCTGCCAAAGATGATCCCACTGCAGCTTCCCCGGATCAGGATGGCAGCTGGAGCTTTTTTCCTGCATTTGGAAGCATCAGAGGTGCTGCTCCCAGGTCCAGCAGCCTTACCTCCATGGGAGCACAGAAAGGTGTGGTTGGTGATGGGCCCAGGCTCAGCAAAGGTGTTGAATTTATTGAGCCACTCTCGAGAGATGTAGAACTGCAGCAAACTGTGCTCCTTCATGCTGGCCAGGGACACGACCTTCTGACGCTCCCTCACAGCCTCCTCACTGCTTTTCCTGGAGCAGGGAGAGGAGAACCCCATGTGGGAAATGCATTTCCAGGTGTTCTGTGCCCAGGAAGGGGCTGAGGGCACAGCTCACCTGTAGAACAGCACGTAGGCTTCTGCATTCTGCACCACGGTCTCGTGCACCTCGGTGACGTACTGGTCATCGAACTCGTACCACTGGCCATTGATCACGTTCTGGCAGTAGGCAATGTAGTGCCCACCTGGAACAGAAAGCACAGCATTGCTGGGATCTGCAGTGCAGACACAAGGCAGGCCTGGGATAATGGCAGCAGCACAAACAGGATTAGCTGCTGGCACAGAGCAGAGAGAGAGACAAAAAAAAAAAGGATAATTCCTGCTCAGGCAAGCTTTGCTGGAGCAGCAGAGCCTGGCACTGTCACCCTGATTTGCCTTCCTTGGAAGAGCCTCTCAGCAAGACTGAACAGTGGGAAAGGGTTGGAGCCAAGCCTGTGGGGAGGCTGAAAGAGCTGCAGGGGATCTGTCAGAAGCTGCTCAGTTCACTTTCCAAAGGGCAGAGGCTGCTCAGGCTGAGAATGGAGGGGTCTCAGGAGGTGTTGGCTATTCCTGACCACCCTCCTGCCTCACTCACACTCCTCCCACCCTGCTCCTCTCCCAGACAGGGACTCACTGCCAGCCGTGCCGTGGTGACAGATGACAGACAGGAGGTCGTAGGTGGTGATTTGGGACACACACTCCTTGGCCAGGAAGGGTCTCAGGTCCAGCCCCTCCAAGGGGAAGGAGACGTGGCTGTTGATCTTGAAGGAATACATCACCTCGTGCCGGAACCGCTTCAAGTGGATGCAAAGGATCTAAAAGACCAAGGAGGAGACCAAAGGAGCAGTTTTGCCATGGCAGCCCTGGGAGCACAGCACATCTCTGTGTGTCTGATCTTTGCAGGAGTTCTTTGCCTGTTTCTCATGAATCCTGCTGGCTCATCAGCTTAGACTGAGAAAGTCTCTTCTGATCTAAATACAGATTAGATATTTTTGCCACCAAAAACCCTGCTGGTTTTATTCTACCTCTGGCCTCCTGACCTCCTCAGTGGCTGCTAGAAGAGAGTTAGGAAACAAGGTGCCTTTACCCACCTCTGGGAGCCGCAGGACTTTGCAGTACTTCACTCCATTCCGCAGCCTGAGGGAGGAAAAGAAATGAGCTGTGAGGACTCTCTAGAGCAAAGGCATAGCTGGGTCTTGCTCCCTTTGGAATCCAAGACAGATCCTGAATTCCAGCAGAATTGTCCAGGCAGAGGACACAGCGAAATATCTGACAGCAGTACAGAGAAAGAAAATTCCAGAAATAAAACTCCAGACATGCAACACAGAACAGATAATGCCAACTTACTTCTTACACCGTTCACAGCTGTACATGTTGTCCCCTGTAGAGAGAGGAGAGCCATAATGCATCTGCTCAGAGCATACAAGGCTGACACAGCTACCTTTCCAGACAGTGCAGAGAAAGCAGATTAAGAGCCTTTTGGGCAGGCCAGGGATGAGAAAAGATCAGAACAACTCCTCTCAGTAAGTGTAGGCAAGAAAGGGATGCAGCCAATTAGCAGGAAGGATGAGAAAGTGAAGAAACTGAGGAGCCACAGCACTCAACCAACCCACAGCTCTGCCTGCTCCTCACTGAGGACACTCTCACCCAGATTTCCCACCCCTGAGCAGGTAGAAAAGGTCCCTCCTGCTCAGAGATGCTGAGCTGCCAACTTTTGGCACTGCCAGTCTCTAATGACACACCAAGGCAGGATTTATTGGAGATTTAATCTGCCTTTGAAATGCTTATGGAATGCTCCTCCATGCTGTCAGACCCCACCAAAAAAACTCACCCTTCAACTCATCTGCTGCAAAAAAGGCAGCAAGGCAATCCTCCAGTGTCACCACGGGACCCCAAAACCAGCTAGGGATACAGGACACCACAAATCTGCAGAGGAAAGGGATTAAGAGTTATAAATAAAATAGCTGAATGCTTTGGCACACAAAACCCCAAGTGGATGATAAATTTTCTTCTAGCTGTAGGGCCTAAGCTCATCCCACATCCCAGAGGAGCAGGGAAAGCACAGCTGCTCTCAGCTGATGTTCCTACTCAAACTGGAAATTATTTGGAAAACTACACCAGGAATTAATTTACTCTGGAAGGCAAGTCTGAGGCAGCAGTGAGGGGTGATCAGCTGCACAAGAGCTCTCAAGGTGTGTGACAGATCTAGAGGAGCAGTAACAACTGCTCCCCATGGAAAGGCTCAAAGTCCTGTGAGGTACCACACACTGTGCTCCAAGGAAAGGTTCCAGCTGACATGGCCATGTTAACACCACTGGTTAGGGAGGGCTGCTTCCAGCACTGCGGGGCAAATCCCAGAGAACAGAGGTGCTGCAAAGGGAACACACCTCCGGATGTACTCCATGATGAAAGCAATCCAGCCCTGTGAGGCATAGTTGTCCCCACATGCTCCTGTCTTGGCTGGCACATTTTGGTAAATGGCAGAGTGCAGCTTGGCCAAGTCCTCTTTCCCTGGGATTGGGAGTGACAGGTCCTGGAATGTCTCCACTGTTGTAGAAACCTGGAAATACCCAAGAGGAACAGGTCAGGGCTTCCCATGTGTGTAATGGAGCTGACACCTCACCTTCATCACCTTTTATCACTGCTGGGATTTAGCCTAGGCTAGAAACCTGAGCTGGCAGCAGGAGCAACTCCCTGTAGCTAATTATTCTTCCCTGCTGTCAGCACTGACTTCTGTCATGGCTTTTGTAGCACTGGACTCAGTTTCCTGATGTGAATGTGATACTGCAGGGTCAACTCAGTAACACAGATCAGCAAACACAGAAACACATCTCCTTGGCATGGCACATTCTCACCCCTCCCCTGCCACCACCTATGGCCACAGCAGCTGCATCCCACAGGGTTTGGAAAGAGCAGCACCATTCCCTAGGAAGAGATCTACAAGCACAAAGCCCGTGCTGGTGAGTGGGAGGCCCAGGACACTCACTCTGTCACAGGTGAGGCACTGCACCAGGCTGAGGATGGAGCCGTCGAAGATGTCGGAAATCACACTGCGGTACCGGAGCTCCTTCTTCTTTTTCCCAGAAGCCTGCATCTGGGCTGGAGAACAGGGAATGGCCCTTTCAGTCTCCACAGAGTCACACAACCACATAAGGACAAGGGACAAGCATTGTCCTGATGTTCAGACCCCATCCCAGGGACGTGGTGAGGCAAGTTGTGAAGAGACATGGAGGACTCTGCTGCTGTGTGTGGTACAAGGGAGAGGAAGCCAACTGAGCCAACACCAGCTGGCTCTCAGGAGGCAGAAACTGTTGTACTGGAGACCTCCTGTTTCCAGCCTTTTACATGTTTAGAAGCCCAGCCCTGCCACAGACAGTCCCTGGTTTTCTGAGGTCTTGTGACACTTTGCTCCAAGCTTTGCATTTCACTTCCTCTCCCCCTCTGCCTCTGTACTTTGTCCCTTTTTTACCCCTCTGACATTTACCACGTGTTCCCCAAGTGTCTCACACAGGAAAGGACTCTCCACAGCAGGGACTGGCCAAATGCAAGGTTTTGTTTAACAACAAACCCTGTCCCCACACACACGTGCAGGCAGACAGAGTGGTTTTCATGCAGCCAGAACACCTGCAGCTGTGCTGACCTCAGCCAAGGGGCTGAAGAAAGAATGTCCTCATGCAGCAGCTGGAGGGACAGTGGTACAAGCACAAGCCATTGTGTTTGCAGACTGTGCAGCACTGAGGGATTTTGATTTGCAATTTGCTCTGGGAGGAAGGGACCAGTTTGATAACAACACAAGCCAGGCTCTATTCTGCAGCCTGACAGTGCTCCCAGCACTGCAGGGACATCTGCAGCCCTAATTCCATTCCTGTGAGCCCAGGATGTCCAAGAGGCAGGAAGCTCTGTCAGTAACAGCATCTTACAGCTCTCTGGCCCACATGCCATGAAATTCAAGTCTGGCAGACAAATGTTTATGTATTTCCACATTCCCCTAAAGGGACAGAGCCTGTGCCTGGGACTTGACAGCCATTTTATTAATGACAAACACAGCACACAGATGCAGACATTGATCATTTCAGGCCCCACACTAGAACATCACTGTGCCCAGAGCTTGACTTTATCTGCAGGTTTACTGTAGTCTTTGCCAAATACTATTTTGGAACACCCTGATGTCCAGGGGAACCAGCACTTCTTACATCTGTTAATCAAGAATTCATGATGGATTCCCTCTCTCCTTTCCTCTACATGCTCCCCCCTTTGCCTCCCAGCAATCCCTCTTTGCCCTACCTTTCTTGAGGATGTAGGAAGGTCCAAGCCTGGCAGGACTGGAGCGGGGAGGACTGCTGGACAGCTTGGAGTGCATTTCATGATGGACTGGACTGCAGGGGCGCGAGGAGCAGCGCACATAGGCATCATTGTCAGGTTCTGCTTGGGAAAATGGGGAGGGACAAGGGCACTGGTGAAAACCACAGCTATGAAAGGCAACTCCACTGCAATCTGTGTCAGCCTAGCTCTGTGCTCCAGCACAGAATCTTTCTCAAAGGCACAGTTCAGTGTCCATTAACTGTGCTGCTTGCACAGGCTGGCAGACACAGCTCCCTCAGTCACGGGAGAGAGTGCATACGGAGCTGTACCTAACAGCTAATAATTACATCCTAAAAAACCCCAGAAAACAACCTGCCATTTTTTCACACTTATGACTAATTAGATTTTGCAGCTTGCTCCTGTAGCCCTAAACCACACAGACAGCATTGCTGCCTTTCAGTGCCAGCTGGCAGAGTAAGACTCTTACATAAAGAAGCGTTGAAAGATCGGATATGTTCAGCTTGAGGTGACTCCACACTGCTGCTCTTTTCTTTTCCCTAAGACACAGAAATGCTCAAACTGCTTCTCCCTTTTCTCTCCCTAAAGTCCACAGTCCAACATTAGCAAATACCTTCTGCCATGCCTTTTCCACAGTTAGTATTTCCCCAGGCCAGCATATGAAATAAAGAGATGTACACATACCAAACCTTTTTTCTTAAAAGGCATCAATACAGTGCAGGCTTGGCAGAGGCAGCTCTCACTGCTGTGCCTTTACTCAGCTCACAGCCTAGCTAAGCACCTCTGGCTCATCAAGTACACTTACAGAGGCAATTGTGCACAAAGGCAGGGACTGAGGAAAACTTTGGATGCAAAATCTTTTGAAAGACAGAGAAGGAACAATCCCACTATGTGTTTGCCGCTGCACTACATCATAGTGCCTGTGGAGGATGGTAACACATCTTCCTGGAAATATCCCAACTGAAAGAGGGGTATACCTGGTGTCCTGCATGGGCTGGCAGGACAGGGAGCTGGCAGCATCTCAGGTGAGGCTCTGCCATCCACTGGCATCATTGTAGTATCAACATCTGCATCCTCATCCACCTGCTCTGAGTTGCTGCGCCGATGGCCACATGAGAACTTCCTGTCCTTCATCCTCTCTTTCTCTGAGATCCCTCTCCCTGCTTCATCCTGGATCAGCAGCTCTGTCTCTGCCAGGGAGCTGCTGCCCATGCTCCCTGAGGTCCGACTCTGGCCCTCTCCTTCACCCCTGTCACTGCTGGAGTCACAGGACAGGAACTCGTCCTCTGAAGGGCTTCGGTCACCCTCCCGCTTGTCCTCCTGCTCGCTGCTGTCCATGTCCCTGGTCTCTGAAACGATGGGTTCCTTCAGTTCCTCGTGCAGCTGATCCATCAGGCAGCGCAGGAACTCCTGTGTGTCCTGAAAACCAGGATTCCATGTCAGTATCCAGCCAGAAACGGGGCAAAAGAGGAGATGGCTCCATTCACAGCTGATTCCAAGAGTGCCCACAAGGCTGAGCCTGCTCTGCAGCACACAGACCCAGCTGAAGCAGGGCCATGCACCAAAGGGCCTGTCTGTTACAGAAATGCTTTAACTCCTACATAATTAAAGGCCCAATTTTTTATCTGAATACCTTCAGCTGAAAGACTTTGAAAGGACAGGGAGCAGCTGTGGAAGGCCAATCAGGAGCACATTTATCAAGGGTTTGCCACAGATAATAGGGGAAAAGCAAGGAGAAACCTGATGAAAACAGCAGGCCCTGGAGAACAGCCTGTTTCCCACAAACACATCTTAGGAACACTGACTTCTGCTCATGGCAAGCCACCTCTTAAGAGAGGGGAGATTAAAATCTTTAATAAACAGGGAGAGGAACCAGAAACTCAAAGCTATACAGCCTAGCTGCAAGCTCCTACATTCATAATATATGGTAAAAGAGCTGATACCTTGGCTTCAAAGGAGCTGCTGGAAAGCAAGCTGGTATTTTGACAACTGCAGAAAGTTAATTACGACCTTTCAGTTGTTTTATGAAGTTTGGCTTTTAGCCTGCCCTGCCTACCTTTCAAATTTATCTCTTCAGATCAGAGTTTTCCAATCCAACGTATTTCACATCAAAGACAAATATAGAAGTTCTTTCATTAATCATTATTTTTATTCTTTGTTTTGATTTCTTGTCACTATCACAGTTTTGATGCTCTGTCACTTCTCTAGTAAATTTTCTAATCATAGTTTGTTGTTTACATTTTGTCATAAAGAACAAACAGAAGAGCTACACTGATAAAGACTTCAAAAGAAAAAAAAGGATACTACCTTTAAATAAGACTTAGTTTTGCTGTAATTCCCCAGAAAAAGAATATAGAACATTCATATCTTTGAATTTTTAGTGCAGCTTTCTCCAGGTTCCTCAGCTCTGACATGAATAAATAATAACAAACTCCCATAGAGCACATATCAGTAGATCTCAAAGCTATTTATAAAGGATTTGACCACCATCATTTCAGAGGTGAGCAAGCTGACACGAGGAAATGAACTGATTTGGTACCAACAAGGCAGAGGCAAGCCTGGAAAAGAATCCAGGTCTCCCAAATCCCACCCAAGTGCTTTATCAGATCACTGATATTGACACAGAGAGGCCATGACCCCTGAGCTCAAGCTCTTCCTTCTAAACACAAGCACCAGCACTGCAAGAATGAAATTCTCTGGTTTTGGAATAATGACATGGGTTTTTTCAGCCCCCACCTGCTGTGCATAGCCTCGGAACATGGGATTGACAAGCTTGATTCCATGGGAGAGACTGCTTGGAACAACATAACTCGGGCTGTTTAGAGTGGAAAAAGAAAAAAGAAAAAGTCAGTTTGCATATTGGGCTTGGAGCCAGTTTGTCTAACAGGCCATAACAGAGGGTGTGGTGTGTAGTTAAAGAGGCCAAAAGATAATTATGCACCTGCAAAGCCTGAGCAGGGATTTCTGCATGAACTGGGTGACAAACACACCAAGAGACAAAAACACCTTGCAGTCATTTCAGTCTGTCTTTCCAGAGAGACCCTCCCCCAAAACACATTTCACTTACAGCTCTGTCACACTTTGAGTGTGGGAAGTGATTCTCTCATTCTCTCCAGAGCAGAGTTTAGCAATTAGTGACTTTGTTTGATTTTCCAGCACCATGTTTGTCTCAAAATCTGGGCAGGCTGATCACCCAGTAAATGAGATCAATTCAATCAATGTTAAAATGACATGATATTGCTTCAAAGCCTGCAGCCTCCTCCTTCACAAAGGCACAGTTCACCTTGCTCCATATCTTACTTATTCCTTGTTAATAATGAACTTGAGGCAAACATGCAATGCCATTTAAATTCCTGTTTTGCTGGGGTTTAATTTATTGCACAGAGCAGACCAGATTTAAACAGAGCTACATAATTTTGCACTGTCCTTTGAACTGGTCCAGAATTTGAATCAATAGCAAACCAAAATGTCACCTGCATTTTCCACTCTCTTCAGTAAAAATCTCTGAATCACTTTTTTCATCCAAATCATCAATTCCTCTGCTAATCAAGAGCAGTGCAATTAAGTGCTGGCCACTGAAGTCCATGTAAAATACTTGGAGATAGCCCCAGGTATTTCCTCACTCCATCATTTTTTCTTCATTGCCAACTGGGAAACTATATTTAAAAAAAAACTCTTCCTTTTAAAAATTGTAATATTAAGAATGAATTCTTTTCACTGATATCAGTGTGCCCATTTCATCACCAGCAGCAGGAGATGGGATCTCCTGGATCCCAGGGAACTCTCACATCCCCATCCACACAGGGGGTTAAATCACTGCCTCAGAAAATGCCCTTGTCCCTGAGGATCAGATTTCCTCTCTGCCATGCCAGAGCTCAGAAGCAGCACACCTCTGAAACCTGGCCAGGTTAGATCAGGGGTCACCACTCACCGTTTCTTGTGCCAAACCTCAGACACCAACTTCTGGTAACTTTTGCACAGGGCAGGTTTCTTATCCGTACGGACCAGTCCACCACATTCCAGGAAAAACTGTGTCAGAGGTGGGCTACAACAGAAGGAAAAGGAGAAGAATTCAGCCCACAGAAATTTTTCCTCTGCTTCTATTTATTTATCAATACTTCATGCAGGCCTTATCAAAAGCATGCTTAAGGTACTGATTTTAAACCAAGGGAAGAAGGGATTCCAGATGCCAATGTGACTCCTCACTTGGATCAAATGAAAAAGGCTGATTTGAACCTGCTCTCAGTACAGAAAAGGTCCTGGAATTGAGTTTCAGCAGGATGGCTAGAGAATATTTTAGGATATAGGTTATTAGAATGATATCAGTGAGGAGAATAAAGAGATGTGAACATGGCTTTCTCTGGGATAAATAATTTCTGTTGCAACAGAAATGATGAAATTTTACTTCAAGCATTTGTCTAAACATGAGTCTTGTACATAGCCACAAGCTGGCTGGTCCCTCAATTTCCTACTGTAATACTTCTGTTGCCCTAAAATAACACTATTTTTTTCTGTCCCCAGCCTGGCTAATCTCTCTTTGCAAGACTCATGAAGGTTTCAGATCAGAGGTGACACTTTTGGTATTTAGTGAAGTCAGTTATGACAACACTGAAAGCCCTAATGCCTACCAGTTTGAGAGAGCCTGAAGTGCTGCATTCATGTAGCAGGAGTTCCCAAGATTTTTCATTCCAGTAAGGCCTAAAGCACAAACAAGAGAGGGATGAATCACTTTCAAGATGTGCTGCTTTCTATATTCCTCCCCAAGGAGAGGGAATCCAGCCCTTTCTAGGCAGTCTCCACATTCTGCTGCCAGGAACCCTCTCAGTGCAGGTCCTACAGACTGCAGAGTTGCCCTGCCAGCTCTTTCATCAACTCAATGCAAAGTTACCTCTTGGTTTCAAATCATCATCCTCTGATTCAGATTCGCCTTCATCAGCCACTGCAATGGGAACAGCTTTCAGAGGGTGAGCAGGCAAAGGAGAATCCTAGATTAAAGGCAGAGAAATAACTATCAGTTACAGGCCTGCTTTGAAAGATGAGATGTGAGAGATATTATCTTACATATAAATCAAGCCAGCCTTCAAGAAAAGTAGGAGAAGGAAGAACAAGTTGCCCTGTCTAGCCTTCTCTCTGAGGCAGCAGGGAGTGGAAATATTGTCATTAATGCTTCCAGTACACGTGATAAGAAACATCAGGAATGAGCAGCAGTGTCACATGGACATGGTGTTTCTGGTCTGACAGCTGAAAATTCCATGGGCCATGCATTGGAAATCAAAATGTGACAGACAGGTTCTTCTCACATGCAGATACTCCATTGGAAAGGTTAAAAATAAAGTCAGAATGGATATTCAAGTCATAGAATCACAGCATCATAAATTATTTGGGTTGGAAGGGACCACAAAGCTCATCTAGTTCCCACCCCTAAATCATTTGTCATTTTGCTGGGACACCCTGTAAGTCAGGGCTAGTGGTGCCCTGGCTCCAGGCAGCCACTGTCAGTGAAGGTCTCCCCATCACAGCAAACACTGCACCATGGCAGGAATCACTTGGCCAATTTCACACCAGGCAAACCAAACCTGGCCAGGCTCCCAGGCCTGCCCTGCGTGCCACAGACCCACCGGCTCAGGGAACTTGCTGGGGGGTGAGGGGGGCTGAGCCAGGCGCTGCTCCAGGAACACTTCCCTCTCACAGGCATAGCACCACACACGGAACGTGGTCAGGTTCACTGTCAGGTTGTGCTTCTTGGCCTGGAAATCCAAAATGAAACAACAGATATCCTCTGGCAGCTGGCCTGAGCTGGAGTGCAGGACTACCAGGACACAGAACAGGGAAAATCCAATTCTATTTAAATGTAGGGAACAGAGACAAGCTCACCTGTGCATGAAGCGTGCTGTGGTCAGCAAAGGACTCCCCACAACCAACATAAGGACAACCAATCTAGAGAGGGGAAAGAGCCAAAGCACAATGGGCACATCAAGTTAAGACTCTAGCAAACAGTCTGTAACTCCAGTCCCAGCAGCAGCAGCAACTTCAGAATTATTTTCCTGGTTTTCTAACCTGCTTTTTATTCAGGGCCCAAAACAAGATGGAAATTTAGAATTGATGGAACTTCAGAACTGATTTAAGAAACAGGAACCAGGTTTGCACTCAGGCAAAGTTTCTGTTCCAAGGCCATTGCTCCAACAGGGATCTCATCTGAGCAGCCCAAGCCTGGGCATTCCAGTGTAAAAATAAACAGTCCCTGCCTGCCCCAGTGTCCCATGGATTCCCTCCCTTCTCACTTCCAAGGTGTCACCTGCAGCCCCTCCACAGGTGCCAGCAGAGGCAACACCCAGCCAACCACCATCACTGGGGAACTCATTATCTCCTACTGGGAATAGCAAGGACAGTCCCCAACAGGGAGAGAACTGTTACATCTTGTCAGACTGTGACAGTGTTACCCTTTCAGTGTTACTGGACAGTCTCCTCCTTGGAATCCACCAAAAAACAGTGTATAGTTCTACTGTGAGCCCCTTCTTTGCTCCCCACTATTTTTTCAGTATAAATGCTATTTGAGTGAAGCCCCACTACATCACGCACACAAACAAGCCATTTTTACCTGAAGACAAGCCCAGAGGTTTGGTCCCACAGCTCCACAAGACTGGCAAGTTCCCTGTGTATTGATGATAAAAGAAGGCTTGTTGTTTGGTTTTTAAGTAACCAAGTCCTTAAAGAGTGAGAAACCTCTATAAAACAGCCAACCTTCAGCTCCCAGGATTTCATCCCTTTCACCACACTTCCAATCAAATACACAATTGCACCATTTTAGATAAGTGACACATTCAAGCAGGATAAAATGACGGTGAGAAATCTGTAGGGTCATAAAGGGTGATTTATGGGACATGTGGGTACATCAGTGGGGGAAGGAGAGTTTCCCTCTGGAGAGAGGCAGGGTTTTCTTCAAAAAGCAAACATGCAAATCCATGCACAACAGCTAAAAGGGAAAGAACTGAGAGCCACAACCCTGTACCTTGGATTTGAGCAGCAGATCATCCGTGGTCACCTCTCCTATGGAATCCAGGTGGGGACAGATGTCCCTTGTATCCCCCATTTTCACCAACACTCATGTGAGGAGGGTTTCCTAGGACAAGAAAGGATGGCTCCTTTCACAGCAGGTCAGATTGCAAGAAGATACCTGGGCATGTTGTGCATATTAGAGTTCCAGATCTATCTTTAAGGTTCAGAGATTGAAACAAATCTGGCACAGTCTGGCCCCACTGCTGAGTGGCTGCATTGTGTTATTGTAGGGAAGGAGCAAAGCCATGGGGAGGAGAAAGAAGCAAATAAAGCTAATAAGCCATATCATGGAATGTGCCTTCAGAAATGCTGGGAGTGCTCAGCACACAGGCACAGCTTCAGCTGCAAAGATACAAATCTAATTAGCTCATTTGCATGAAAGCCTGATGAAAAGTGAAAGGTGCTGCAGCCCATGACCAGTACTCAGCCTGTGGTGTCTGTGAGCTTCATGCACCCAACTGTGCTGATCTGAATCTAACATTTCCTTGTCACACTTCTTCATCAAACATTAAAAATATGATTAGTTCTAAATGAAGCTGGGCAAGAGGGAAATAGACTTAAATGAACTGTAACACCGATAAGCAGGCTCCAGTCTCTGAGGAATTTACCATTTCATGGGCAGATTTTTAACAGTATGAGCCACATAACTCAAAGCCAGTGCAAAACACAACAAAACACTGTTCCACCCAGCTCAGACATCCAAGCACCACAAGAACAGATGATTTCACAGCTTATGAACACAATAAACACTTTTATGGTGGTCCATGGATATGTAAAAGACTTCAAATATGTCTCAGTAACACACAGCTATAAAAAAAGAAGAGTTTGTGTTTTTTTTAAGCATAGTTTAAATAACTTTGCTCATGGCTGTTAAAAAAGTAGAAAAGAAGATAAGTGATATTAATAGCACAGACAAGGATCCAAAATATTACAGTTGGCTGGAAATGAAGCAGATGTGAAGAGCCCACATCATTGCAATAAAGAAGTGGAAAAATCTGATGAACTCAATGTTAATGACTCCAGCAGCCGCATGGCTGCTACACTCTGCTTCTTTCACATTTTGAGGACATTTGAAACAATTCCCAGTGTTATCTGGTCTGAATCACTGACAGGAGGGAGAAAAGAAAAGAAAGATTATAAACGAGTAGGCCATATCAGTAACACTTATCTTGGGAATGGAAAAGCTTGCCTAGCACCTTGTCTTGGCAGAAGATAAACCTCAAGGCTAATTTTACACTGTTTTCCCAGCACTCTTTAGAACTCAGTAAACTGATGGGAGGAGCAAAGGGAGAAGAAATCATATGTGTATGGTAGAAAACACCACAGGGGTGCTGACCTGGATCTCAGTAACTTGTGAAGAAAAGCTTAACAAAGAACAAAGCAATTTCATGCAGTTTCACAGAGAAGGAACATAGCACCGTGTAACACATACTGATTGAAAATACAAATGACAAGAGCACAGTAGCTTTGACTAACACATGAAACTGGGACATTTCAGGCTCTGAGTTCCTTCACCAAAGCAGACCCCTTTTCCCAAATGCATCAGCTGGTCCAATTAAAAAAAAAAGTACCAATGCTGCATTTGCTACTTCACCATCCTTGGTTTCTTATCTCTCTCCCAGATGTTCCCCAGAAAATTTAATGAACAAAATACTGGTTTAAAATGAATTCCAGACCTCATATCTTCACCAGCTTAAACTAACTGGGAACTGGTTTTGAAGCACACTTTGTTAAGTAGAGTCTTCTGGATGTGGATGGTTTCAGTGCATTCCCTGGGACCACCCCTCTCCTCAAAATCAAAACCATGTCTTTAGACTCTCCAGCACTGGGGGGCTGATCTTCCCACACAGCACTTCCCATTCTGAACAATGCAGGGAAAACCTCATTTTTGCCTCTCAGCCCTGACCACATACACCAGAATAAGGTTTGTGAGTGTTCAAAAGGAAATATTCAACTTCTGTCTTCCCATGACTCTGCCCTAAGAGCTATAGCTGGCACACACAGCTCTAATTCTGCTCAGGAACCCAGGAATTTCATAAAAGCACTGCCAGAGAGCTGAACTGTGCTTGTCAAAATGTACTGTGTATGATGGGAAAAGAAGTTACCCTACAACAAGTCCTTCAGCCTGTCTTTCTCAAGCACCACTGAGGGAGGACAGTACACGAACATGTCAGAACAGCTCCTCCGTAACTGCAACCTACTTTCAGTCGCTTCAGCTGCTGCCAAACCCAGCCTCTCTGCCTTCCTTCTACAGGAACACATTTCTAGGTTTTTGCTGGTTGTTTTTTTTTTTCCTTAAAACAACTGTGTGGTTTCATACCAAAGCTAGAGCCAGCTGTCAAGAGTTTCAGATCCTTGTAGGCTGACATTCTTCAGAGCAACTGCACAAATAAATCTTTGCACTGTTCATCTACAAAACAACTACCAGGTCTGGTCTTGCATAACCTACCAAGGAAAAAAGTATCCGCAGTTGTGCTCCGAAACATTTTATACTTGAGATACTGAAAAAAGAAATATTTACCAAACTGCCCTAGTGACAAGGCAGAAGCAGAAAGCAGGTGCTGCTGGCTCGCAGCTGCATCAGGTATGGGAAAACCAGGAGGTTTATGTGCACCCCGCAAAGGAGAGCAGGTCTGAACACTGATTTATTGTGGGAGATCACAACACGACTCACCTAGAGATTTAGCTCTCAGGCAAAAACCACCTGAGGGAAATCCCCCCTAGCCCGCTATGTCACTCCTCAAGCGCAGCAGACCCCAGAATACAAGTCCCCTCCTGCCAGACGCTACAGCTGCCGGACACGAGTGAGGCTGAACAGAACCAGCCTAAAGCCGCACGGTCCCGCTCCCGGGATCGGCAGCAGCCCCTGGGGGTGCAGGGCCGCCCCCAGGCCGGGGCACAGCAGGATCCGGCCCGGAGCCCCCGCGGCCGCGGCTGCTGCATCATCCCCGGCGCGGCCCGGCCGCCCTCCCCCCGCGCAGCCCCGCGGCCGCGGCCCCGCCGCCCCGGCCCGCGGCCCTCGCTCACCTGCGGGATGCCCGGGGCGCCACCGCCCCCGCCCCAGGCCGGGCTGCCGGGAAGGGCCGCGGCCCCGAGCGGAGCGGGGAAGCGGCGGAGGAGCGGCGGGTGCCGCGCAGGCCGGGGGAGGAGCGGGGGCCGGGCCCGGCGGGGCGGGGCGGGGAGGGACCGAGCGGAGGAGGCGGTGGCGGCACCGACCCCGCGGGGTCCCGGGGTCGGGACCGAGGGCTCCCCGAGCAGTCGGGGCTCAGCCTCAGGGCCGGTGCTAGAGGGGCGAACCGCCGCTCGTTCGGCCGGGGACCCAACAGAGCGGCTCGGTGCCTCGGTCAGCGGGGAGCAGCCGGCTGAAGGAGCCGCGTCCCGCCCCAAGGGCTGGCTGCAAACCCGGGTGTGGGACCCGCGCTCCCCACGGCGCCTTCTCCCCACGGCGTCCCTGACAGGCACCGGCCACCGGCCGAGGCTGCGCTGCTGGGACTGCGAGAAATGGACCGAGCCTCGTGACTTACACGAGGTGTTCGCAGAAAAGACAGGGGGTGGCCCGGAGTAAGGGGGGTGACACGAGGGCTCCCGGCCCGGTCCGGGAGGGCACGGGGCGCTGCGGGCCCCGCTCGCCGGCCCCGCGGCTCCTGCCCGGCCGAGGTGCGGGCACAGGGGCGGTGCCGCCCGGCCTCGTCGCGGGGCTGTGGCGTCATCGCGGCGCAGCAGCGGCGGGGACGCGGCCGTGTGGCGGCAGCCGCAGCGATGCCGGGCCAGAAATCCTTCCGGCGGCGCAGGGAGGACGAGGACGAGGAGGAGGAGGACGAGCAGCTCGCCGAGGAGGTCAGGTGGGTCGGGCGCCGGCGGGGAACTGGGCCGGGCCCAGCGGGAAGCGCAGCCGCGCCCGGCCCTGCGGCGGTCGAGGGGCAGGACGGGACCCGTGCCTGCTTTGGCCCAGCAGTGCTTGCGGTGTCCGGGTGTCACCACATCGTGTCCTGTCATATCGGCACGTACGGCTGTGCTGGGGGCGGTGACGTCACGTCACAGTGCAATGTTGAACAGCGGTGTTGTGGCGTGACGTCAGAGCGTGCGTCACAGCCGTACGTGACCCCAGAAGTTGTGAATTCCTCTCAGTTTAGGGAGAAACTCTTCAGATTTCAATTCACCATCAACTTTCTTCAGAGTCACTCATGCCTGGATGTATTTTGGCTCGTCCTTCCCAAACTGGTTTCTTCTTCAAGCCTTTCGGTGTTTGGTGCTGCCTTTCTAAGGCATCAGAAAGGAACAAATCCAGCAAGTGTCTTTTTTTAAGTTTTTTTCTGACTGAATGGGATTGCTTAAATAAATAGAAAATACCTACTTAACTGGAAACCCAAAAAGTGGATGCTGATATGCAGAGGTTTAGGGCAAAATTGAATAGAAAATTCTGTGTTAACTGCAGAAAATAAAATTAATTAATTTAAACCAAAGCATCAAGTACTAAGTTAAATGTATTTTTTTCTTTAGGTTAAAACTTGAGGAAGCCAAAGAAGTTCAGAGCCTCAGAAAGCGGCCCAATGGGGTGAGGTAAGGGATGGCACTGCGGAGGGGAAACTGAGTTTTGTGCAGGGGTGTGATGTGACAGTCAGTTTCTCTCTTGTCATCTGCCTCCTTCCAGTACAAACCATTGTGTCAGACACTGCCAAAATTATGTTCCTGACAGAGGAGTTTCTATGTTAAAGCCTGAGGATGGAAAAGACAGGGAGACTTAAAGAGGGATAAAGCAATGCAGTATTGTGTTTCCCTCTGAATTTTATCTTTCTTTATCTGCCTGACCAGTGCTGTAGCTCTGCTGGTGGGAGAGAAGCTGCAAGAAGAAGCCACACTTGTGGTAAGTGCTGGACAGCTCCATCACCTCGGGGCTCAGGTGTGATGGTGTGAGAACACTGACTGTCAGTCCAGCCTGGGGCAGGACTGGTGTCACAGCTCAATCCCTAAATGTTTCCTGTGGTTTTATCCAGATTTTGAAGACTAGCATTAAACTAGAGGGAAGCTTCAGGCGTTTTTGTTATTTCTTGTTTTACAGGATGACCCATTTAAGATAAAATCTGGGGGAATGGTGGACATGAAGAAGCTGAAAGAAAGAGGCAAGGACAGGTAAGTGCATGTGAGCTCTGAAAATCTCTCCCTGGATGAGTATTTAATGACAACTGTTAATTAATTAATCAGAGGTTGTGTCACTTTGAAGAGTTTCATATAATGCAGTCTGGCCAGTTACTTTTGCTCTAACTTGTTAAATTACTTTTTAAAAACCCACGACACACCTCTCCCAAAAAAACCAAACAGCCAACAAAAAATCACCAAAACCTGTAAACATTGTGGTTTCCACTTAGAATTAATGAAGAGGAGGATCTGAACTTGGGAACTTCCTTCTCAGCAGAAACCAACAGGCGGGATGAAGACGCTGACATGTGAGTCATGCTGTGTTGTGTCTCTGGTGCTGAATCAGGCTGGGTGGCCCCTCACCATTTATTTTTTTATGTTGTGGATTCTGAGTAGTCCCAGGACGTCTTCCCAGTTCTCACTGAAAGTTTCCCTTGCCCTTTCACTTCCTGCCTCCTGGACCTGAGAAGGCTTTTCCATGGGCAAAGCTAGGAGGTGCCAAACAGCCAGTTTGGCACTAAATCCCAGTGGGAGCCTTCTCTGCTGGCTGTTAAAGACCTTGGAGGATCTGATTGTTTCTTGGACAATTAATTCTTGCTGCTTTTATTAACTGAGTGCTTTTGGAGAGATAATTCTTTCTCTCTCCCAGCTGTCAGCACAGGGATGCAGGAGTGTTGGAGCAGAGTACAGGAACAGAATTAAATGCCCTGTCCCCTGTGTGCTGCTGTTTAGGATGAAGTACATTGAGACTGAACTGAAGAAGAGAAAGGGGATTGTGGAGAACGAGGAGCAGAAGGTGAAGCTTAAGAATGCTGAGGACTCCCTGTACGAGCTGCCAGAGAACATCCGTGTCTCCTCTGCCAAGAAGACTGAGGAGATGTTGTCCAACCAGATGCTGAGTGGCATTCCTGAGGTGGACCTGGGGATCGAGTATGTGTGTCACACACCTGTGGCTGCTGGTCAGGGCTGCAGGATGAGCAGCTGTTGCTGTGCCTGGATTGCACATCCCCAGTTTGGGGTGGGGTGGGATTGAGCCTTGTTCTGGATTGGTCCTACACAGCCCCAGGGTTCAGTGCAGCTCCATCCTGTGACTTCTGGGAAAAGGCTCTTCTGTGACCTGACCCCAGCAGCTTTCTGCAGGACCCTTTTGTGTCCTGCCCTGAAGCGATGCACCAAGATAGGAGCTTCCATTTTGGCTTTGAAACAAAGTGTCTGTTTCTATGGCACTGCCCCCTCTCTCAAAAACTGCATCAGAGCCACAGCAGTGCTGTTACTGTCCTCCAGTTCCATGCACGTAGCACTTCTGGGCCTGCTACCCTTTCTAGCTATGAATTTGTTGGGTTTTTTTTTTCTTCTAGTGCAAAAATAAAAAACATCATCTCAACTGAAGAGGCCAAGGCCAAGCTGCTGGCAGAGCAGCAGAACAAAAAGAAAGACAGTGAAACTTCCTTTGTTCCCACCAACATGGCTGTTAATTATGTCCAGCACAACAGATGTAAGTCTTGAGTGTCCCTCCTGACCCAGCTGGGACAGGGAAATTATGTATCCATGTATCAGCATGTCAGGATTGCTTTTCCTGAGATGCTCAGACCCTGTCTGGCCTGGTTTTTACTTCTGCCCATCAGTGAGGAGAGAGATGTATTTCTCATGGCTGGGCTTTCTGAACTCCCAGCTGGCACTGTCTCATAAATTTCAAGATGTTTTCTTTAAGCTGTGCCTTGTGTGCTGGAAATGATGGTGTGTGATGGAGAGACTCCAGTTTGCAGGCTGCCAGAGCAGACAGGTGGCCAAGGAAACACAGACCTTATTGGACAGTAGATGGGAATTAATTTCAGTGTGATGCTTTGATGCTGCAGACATCTAAAGGAAAGGCAGCCTTTTTCTGTGTCCTTCCATGCTTACAAGGGTGATGGGAATCAGATTGGTGTGTTCTGATGGAAGTGAAGAGTGTTTGGGCCACTTGAAATAGTGCTGTTGAAATTTGCTCTGCCCCATCTTGCCTAGACCATAGAAACCAAATCCAAGGAGGGTGGTTCTCTGAGTTTCTGTTCTTTCTGGTAAAGATGACTTACAACACAGGCCATAGAAATATATCCATGTGGATAAGAGTGCTCCAGATAATATTCCTTACCTGATGTTTTCTTTCTTGCAGTTTATCATGAGGAGCTGAATGCTCCAGTGCGAAGGAACAAGGAGGAGCCAAAGCCGCGCCCGCTGAGGGTGGGGGACACGGAGAGGCCAGAGCCTGAGCGTAAGTTCCAGCCCTGAATGGTTGTAAGGAGACACTGAAACTCTTCAGGGGTCTTCAGAGAGCCTGAGTGTGAGTTCCACCCCTGAATGGTTGTAAGGAGACACTGAAACTCTTCAGGGGTCTTCAGAGAGCCTGAGCGTAAGTTCCACCCCTGAATGGTTGTAAGGAGACACTGAAACTCTTCAGGGGTCTTCAGAGAGCCTGAGCATGAGTTCCACACCTGAATAGTTATAAGGAGACACTTCTTCTAGATTGTTCTCTACAGAGAACAATCTGGCTCTGCTTTCCTGTTCTTCTCTGAGTGCCCTGAGGCAGTGGGAGTGAAGCAATCCAAGTCCAAGAGCTGCTGCACCTCTAGATCACATCTGAACTCTGGATGGTGTCCGTAGAGACGGACATCCATCCTCCAGCTCAGGGGTGGAGTGGTGAAGGTCACAACTGAAGTGTTGCCAAAGCTACCTGACAGAGGTTTGGTGGAATAGCAAAGGGTGAAAGGCAATAACCTCACATCATAAGGGGCTGTCTAAGGGAGGTGCCAGAGTTCAGGAAATGTCTCCTGTGAAAGGACAGGGGTATGAAATTGTCTTCTCTTTCTTTTGAAGGGTCTCCTCCAAATCGCAAACGTCCCCTCAATGAAAAAGCCACGGACGATTATCACTATGAGAAGTTCAAGAAGATGAACAGGCGATACTGATGAATGTGGACTGAAGCCTCTGGAGCTGTTCCTATTTTCCACTGATAAAGGATTTTGTGTCAGTGACCTGCAATGGATGTTGGGAACAGTCACTACCTTCAGATGCTGATGTTACCTACGAAATTCTTCCCGTGAGATCTTGTAGTAAATCAGTTTGCAGGTGATTGTGAGCTCTTTGGTTGGTGTAACTTTGTATATAAATATGTTCTTATAAATGAAGTTTTTTAATGGAAAATGAGCTTTCATGGTTGGTAATTTTTATTGAGGAAACAAAGTGGCTTTTATAGATTTTTCTTTTCACCATCTTAATACTGAAACAAAGAGATCCTTTAAAAGCAGCAATGTTGCTTGCTTTGTAAATGTAAAGCTCTTGGGAACTTCTTGTCCATGTCTTCCGCAGAAGTGCAGTGTGGGTATTTGTATTTAAGATTTGTAACTTGAGAATAGTAAAAGTGGTTTTTAAGTTATTGTAGCATTTTTTCTTCTGGAATTCATGCTGATGGGTTTTTCCTGGTTTGTGGGTTCTGGTAGTGCTGATGTCCAGATTGTCCCATCGCTCAAAAGTGACAATTCCAGGGTGGGAAGGTACAACCTCAGATTTCACTTTTTCTCAGAAAAGGGGAAGAATTTCCATGCCAGGCCAGGGGCGAGTTTGCCCCTGAGCTTGTACCCTGCGTAGGTCAGCTACCCTTGAACAGGCAGCTTTAAGCTGAGACAGGGAAGATTTGATTTAGATTCGATATTAGAAACAAAATTTTTCACTGTTTGGGTGGTCAGGCTTTGGAATAGGGTATGCAGGGAGGTGGTGGAGCAGCAGCACTGGAAGCGTCGGGATGTGGGTTTTAGTGGCTTAGGGGTTACAGTGGCTGTGCTGGATGGACGGTTGGACATGATGCTGTTAAAGGTCTCTTCTAACCATGATGATTCTTTGATCCCTCTATTCTAACACCCTGCGGCACAGCCACAAAATGTAATATTTAATAACTGCACTGCGCTCCCGGCCGCGGCGGGTCCCCCCCCCAACATGGCGGCGGCACCTCAGCCCCTCAGCGCCGGCCGCGCCCGTTCCCGCCCCAACATGGCGGCCGCCCCTCAGCGCCGGCCCCGCCTCTCCCCGCACCCGCCATGGCGGCGGCGGAAGCGGCGCCGAGGGGCGGAAGCGGCTGCCGGGCGGCTGGGCCGGGCGGGCAATGAAGCTGCGGCGGGGCGCGCAGCGGGCGGCCCTGGCGTTGGTGCTGCTGCCGCTCCTCACGCCGGCGGGCGCCGTGGAGCCCATCAGCGTGGGACTCGCCATCGCGGGCGCCGCTGCCTCGGCCCTCACCGGCTTCATCTCCTACCCGCGGCTCTACTGCTACTTCAGGGAGTGCTGCCTGCAGCGGCACGACCCGCGCGCCGCCGCCGGTGCGGGACCGGGATGGGCTGAGGGGAGGTGGCGGGAGGGCGCCGGGGCAGCGGCGGCGCCGGGAGCCGGGCAGAGCCCGCGGGGCCTTCCCGTGGGCCGCCGCTCCAGCCCGGCCCTTTGGCCCCTGCCCGGGGCTGGCGGCCGCCACCGCGGGCCGGGTGAGCCCGCGCCCGGCCCGCTCCCCGCCGCTCACAGTGTGGTCTCTCCATGCAGCTCTGCAGCAGAATTTGGACAAGAAGCTGTTCGGGCAGCACTTGGTGAGCAAGGTGGTTGTAAAAGCCGTGAGGGGTTTCTTGAACAATACCAACGCCAAAAAGCCCCTGGCGCTTTCCTTGCACGGGTGGACTGGAACAGGCAAAAACTTTGTCAGTAAGATCGTCGCCGAAAGCATTTATAAAAGAGGTCTGCAGAGTAAATATGTCCATCAGTTCGTGGCAACTTTACACTTTCCTCACGCTCACAGCATCAATCTCTACAAGGTAAGAATGAGCTGTGCTGCAATGAGTTGTAAATGTAACGGCATGATCGGTACATCAGATCTAGATGTTATTTTATATACTAACATGTATGCTGTGCCAGTTTTGTGATCTTCTGTAGATCTGTGTAGATCCTAACATCCATCAGGATGCAATCTTCTGTACAGAACTGTACTAACATCCACCAGGATTGGATTTCCTGTGAATGTGAAGTTTTTTGCGTGTGTTTTGAGCCTCTCTTTAGGGAAGAGTGATATGGTTTAATTTTCATTCTGCACTTTGTTTAGAGTTGGGACTGACTTAAGGATAAACATGATTCCTAGTTAGGTGATGTGTTGGTGTGCACTGCAAAAAAACCAAATAGTTCATGACTCTGGCAAACAACCGAGTGACCCCCAGGTTTGTCAGGCACCATGGCAAGCTTGAACTGGCTCTCTGAGGCATCATTGTCTATGCTACTGCACACTTAGCAGATGTTTTCATTTTCTATGGATCCATTTCCAAGCTGTAAAGCAAAATCACAAAATACTGTGCTGTCAGAAAGGTACACGTAAATGTATTTGGAATTGTCAGTTCTGTAGGCAGGGAGATACATCCGAGCTACTGCTCCATGCTGTTTTATGTTTTTTGTGTTCTGACTTTGTTCACTGCACAGTTTGAATGAGTACTACTGTCTTGTACTGTGTGTTGATATTCAGTTTGTATGTGTTAAAAATAGGAACAGGATGGTACACAAACCTGATTTCCAAATGGAGGAAATAGACATTTTCTCTTTTACAACTTATTTCCCCTCTTCTTTTCACTGAGCCATTTTGAAATACAGTGATGTTTTTCTGCATTTGTTGTGAGGTGACTACACTTGGGAAATTTGCTGCCTGAGGCAGTAGCAGGAAGTATTGCTGCTTATCCCCAGTCCACGTGCAGTTCAGGGACCGAGCAGAATAAATTAAAAAGTGATGAATCACTGAAAATAGTCAGAACAGTTATTTCTCATTCATCTACCAGCACATCAACCCTTTTCCCCCCAGTTAATGTATTATTGATCTTGACTGTAATACTCAAGGTGAAAATGCAATGCTTAAGTGAGAGACTCAGTGCAGTTAAGTATTAGCCTTTCTGGACAGCAGTGTTGCAAGAAGGACTTGTAATTGTCTTCATTTAACTTCTGATTGATCAAAACACAGTTTAATTTTGTTTCTCCTTCTGCCAGTGATGGCAGGTGCAATTTCTCACTGCTGCTGGGTAGCAAATTTAATATTGCTTATATTAAGGTTGTTTAGACCAAAGTGCTGCCAAAAGTCATCATCTGACTTGTCAGAGCTTGGCTTTGTGTGGCTATTCCTTGGTGGGACCCATTTTTTGTCCTACTATGCACTTTCATTTTTGCTTTTCATATGAATATCTAGGAGAATTTCTGCTTCTCCTATCCTGTCTCTTGGTATCTTAAAATTTTTCAGAACCAGCATGAGATTCTGTTGAGGTTTCATTTACAGCTTGTAACCATGTTTTAGTCAAGGAGCCAAAGCCATTAAAATGACACCACTGAAACAACTTCTTCAGGACAAAGTTCCATAAACAGCAAGTGCTATTTTTTTTTTTTTTCCTGTCTTTTCAACACAAACTCAACATCTTTCACTTTTATGCACTCAGGACCAGCTGCAGTCGTGGATTCGGGGAAATGTGAGCGTCTGTCCTCGGTCACTCTTCATATTTGATGAAATGGATAAAATGCACGCAGGGCTCATTGACTCCATCAAGCCCTTCCTGGACTACTATGAGCTGCTGGATGGGGTGTCCTACAGACAAGCCATCTTCATCTTCCTCAGGTAAACAGTGGCTTTTCCTGCTTTTACTTCATAACTTCAACTTTTAAAACTACCCCCAGATGCAATCTCTGTTTTCTCTTTACTTAGCAATGCAGGAGCTGAAAAGATAACAGAGGTAGCACTAGATTTCTGGAGAAATGGGAGGACAAGGGAAGACATCCAGCTCACAGATATCCAAAATGCACTCTCTGTGTCTGTCTTCAACAACAAAAATAGTGAGTAAAGCTGGGATTGCTTTTGAGAAGGTGAAAGTTACACAAAAGGGATGGGCTGCATTTAGCTGCATTTTTACAAGCTATGGTCTCTTCTGATGTGGCCTCCAGTTTTTGGCTTGTGAGGAGCAAAAATGCAGTTTTGGGGCCTGCAGTTGGCTCCCAAGATGGGTGAAGATTCAGGAGCTCATTGTGTGCCTTGGCCACCAGCCTGTTTGCTGCACATTTTGGGGGAAGTGCTTCACAGGTTTCCTCACACAGAACTTGTGGTGAAAAGAGGTGTTAACATAATTATGCTCTGAAATTAGCATTGGAAGCAAACTCACTGTACTTCTTAAAAAGTTTAGATACAAGCTCCAAAAGAAGGAGTAAGAAATCTGGTCTGGGAGAGCTGATAAGAGAGAGAAAATCTGTCCCTCTGGATGAGAGAGGGAAAGGTATGAGACCAGCACCTGGAGAGCAAGGCTCAAGCACAGTCAAAATTCATTCATTCAGCCTAAAGGACCACATTTATGTGTCTGTCCAAAATTTTATGCACAGAGTAACATGGGAGGGGGGCTTGTATTGACTTGTGCATTATAGTGCTTAAAATCCTAGATGAATTTTTAGCTGTGATCTGCCCCTTGCTCCCACTCAACCTGTGGTAGTGTTTTACTAGAGAAATACTAACAAACCTCTTTCCCTTTGCAGGTGGGTTTTGGCACAGCACCTTGATTGACAGAAACCTCATTGACTACTTCATTCCTTTCCTGCCTCTGGAGTACAAACATGTGAAAATGTGTGTCAGGGTTGAGATTGAGTCTCGTGGCTACGCTGTGGATGAAGACATTGTGAGCAGGATAGCTGAGGAGATGACCTACTTCCCCAGAGAGGAGAGAATCTATTCAGATAAAGGATGTAAAACTGTGGATGCAAAGCTGGACTATTATTATGACTTCTAATGCTTTATTGCTACAACCTGCAAAGAAGCAAATTTAACTTAATCACAAAGTGGGGGACCTGAGACATTTCGTTTTTAAGTACTTTTTAAAGAAAGGAACACTATTTTTTAACTGGTGTGTAAATAAGCAGCAGTGCCTCTGCATTTTTGTCACCATCACAGCTCCTGAGTGCTTCAGCCCTGTGCTGTGAAGGTAAGAAGGAACTGCTTTGGGAATTCCTGGATCTGGCAGGGCTCAAGACTTGAATCATGTGGTGATCGTCGGAACCCCTTGGCAGATTCTTGACAGGTATAGAAGGATTGAGACTATAACCTAATTTTAATTTGATTTTGCTCTGATGTGGATGATCTCTAGACAATATGGAGAATTTTAATCAAAGTTCCTGTGTCTCTGAAAGCCTTCGTTGGTCCTGTGTGGGAATATGCATTAAAAATAGAACATGTGTCTTTTTGCCTTGAACAGCTTGGGCCCAGTAAAGATAAGGGGGGATTCTGGAATTTAAAAATCTGGGCATACAGTGCCATTGTCTTTTTCAAAACTGATGTCTAATTTAGTCTCCTATGTGTCAAACCAAGAATATAAAACTCTTTGTTGTGAATAGTGTTCAGAGAGCAGAGTTAGTATCACAAGGAAGTGAGTTAAGATCCATAAATGCCACAGTGGTGTACTTAGTTCCTATTTTAGGTCAGCCTTTATGTTGCCCACAGCAGGTTCTCCCAGGAGTGATCTCAGGAGGGAGAACTGTGCTCTGAGAGTGGTGAGTCAGCTTCATGGGAAAGCTGCAACGTCATGGGAAACGTGTACAGATTAAATTTTACATCATGGAAATTGAAAAGAGGTTTCTCTTCCTCACTTACACCTTGAATTCAGGGGTCAGCTTGCAGGGATTTCTCTTTTTCATCTTCTCACCATACTGTGTGCCTTGAGGCAGGGATGGAGGCAGATCTAAAGGCTTTTGAAAAAAGAAACAACCCATAAAATGTGTCCACTGAAGTTACTGTGAAGGGTGCCAGACTTGTTTCTTAATGTGAGCGCTGCAGAGGCTTTTTACATTCCAGTTGCTGTTCAAAATAAACTTTTCTCATCAGAAATGTATTTCTTAGCTACCTTCTGGTGTTCTTTGCATTCAGTGATTTGATACTGAGTTTGTACAAGTTTATTCCATGTTGAGGAAGAGCACCCTGCATTCCTGGCTGTTCCAGCTGTGCTTGAGTACAGGTTCTGCTTCTGCAGTTCAAAGGGCAGAGATAGGAGATGTGGCTGTGCTACCTGGTGAAACAAATCAAGCTTGGAATGGAAACTGCACTTCTGGACTGTTTATACTAATTACAGCCATGTGGTTTCTGTAGAGGCAGACTTCCTAGATGCATGTGTGCTCAATAAGGATGAACTTGTCTTGTAGAGACCAGTTAAAACCCTGCTGCTCACCTCCTCCTCCTCCTCCCACTGTGGTACCACTGCCTGAACAGTGCAGGCTCTGTTTGAAGCCACCCACATTTTCAGTGGCAGCATCTTGGAGTTTTCTCTGCAAGGGGGGAAAAAAGGGCCAGTGAGGCTCCAACTGTCCTTGCTCTGAAAGTGTGTGATATACAAATTATCAACCCTACTATTTGTCAGCAAATGAGTGCTTTGAACTCAGGTATTTATCTGTTTCTTTGACTTCCTGATTATAGCAAATACCTGGCTAATGGGAAAAAGCAGATGTAATGATGATAAACTTGTGCTGTGGTCTGGTACCAAGAGAATCAGTACAACCAAGCTGTGTTGTGACTAAGATAGCTCTGGAATTATCTTGGTTCTGCTTTATGCATTGCTAGTCAGTATTTCCCACAGCTCTGAATTGCCCAGGGTAGATGGAAGCTTCCTCTGGAGAGCAGGAATGATGTGGAAAGGGTGGAGACTGCCTCTGTTTAATCTCTCTCCTGTTCTGCAGACCTGGCCAGGAGCAGCTCCATTGGGTAAAAGACAGCTGTGCCTGAAATCACTCCCAGATTTGATCCTTCTGATCCTGTTGTTATTCCTTCTCTGTATGGTTTCAGAGCTAAGGTCCTCACTCTTTCTTTGGCCATTATTCTGTTTAATAGGCCATTTAAGGCTGGATCAGACAACTTGAAGTGGCATTTGGGAGAGGTCTGCTGCCCAGAGGAACAGTCCATTGGCCAGGTGAGAGGAGCTGAGCAGGCCCAAGAGTAAATTCTGTTCTTGCCAGAGTCCAGGACAAGCAGCTGCTGCTTTAGTTCAGCTTCCTGCAGGGAGTATTCTGAGATCTCACACTGCTGATAGAATCAGAGGCCATGGTTTAAATCCACTGAAATAGGAAGTGCTGCTGTCCTGCCAGCCAGAGGCAGCCTGGCCCCAGAGCCTGGGGTGCCCAGGGAGGACAAGCAGCTGAGCTGTGCCAGGAGGGTGAAGTCCAAGTGAACAGCAGAGCCTGTGCTTCCCAGGGGCTCCCTGACATTCCCTGGTGCTTCCTTAGAGCACAACACGTGGGGCAGAAGTGCCCCTGCAGGGAGGTGAGAGCTGCTGCCAACAGCTGCCCCACACTTACAAAGGAAGTGTAACAGAAATGTGCAGTGCAGCTTTCTAGTACTTTCCTATATCTGAAAATGATTAACCAAGAGAGAAGAAGTAACTTAGGATTTATTCCAACTGCAGTACAGTAGTATTTAGTGTTTTGAAATAGCACAAATATTTTCTTTTTGGAGTAAGTGAAACTGGATGCAGCATATACAACTAGGAATAAATCAGTTAGTAGGGAAAACATCACACTGAAAAGTGACAGTCCAATGTCCCAAGGTTAATGGCTTGCTAGTGTTTGGCTCTGGAGATTGCATCACTGTGAACAGTTTGCCAACGTTTGACAAACTCCAGTGGGGCTGTAAAAGGCAATCAACACTTCAAATTTAGAGCTTAACGTGAGTGCTAAACTCTCTGTTGTAATTTGAATTAACATAATTGTAATGAGACCCATAATTAGCATTACCTCTTAAAGGAAAAGTGAGGGAATAGATGATGCAGCATAAAAACAGCCCCCTCCTTGTACCAATTTAAAACCACAGTACAACCAACAAAGTGAAAGGCACTTCTGTCTTGCATTACAACATTTGATACACAAGCAATGGGAGACTAAGAGTTAAAGCTTGCAACAGCATTTAAAACCCAGCCTCCCCACTGGGTGAAGGTTAAATTGATCTTTCCCAGCTTCTTAACTCATCACTCACCCTTTCACACAGGCATTCTTTTATAAAACTAACTAGTGAGGTATAGGCTTGTTGCTATTGTTTACATTTCAGCATAAAAATACACTATTAAAATAATTTCTTCCATTCAAGTGTCTTCCAAGCAAGGTGAGAGCAGTATGATCCACACCTTGTCCAGTAGGAGCAGCAGGGAGGGACTACTAAAGACCTCAGAGACTTCAGGCCCAGGAGCCCACACAGATTAATCTGACAAACTGCAACAGTTGAATTCTCATGATTGATTTTTCTGCTTAAGTACAAAGACTGGCCTAGTATGTTGTAACAGATCTCTCAGATGGGTCCCTCAGTTTAGGAAGACCTGGAGTCACAAATTTACTTAGTCCCTTTAAAGAATAGTTTAACAATTTATTTTCCCCCAAGGAAACATGGGGCAAGCTCTTACTTCCTCCTCCTCTGCCCTCTCTCTATTATTTAGTAATACATTTCTAGGAGGTCATAATGACTTCCCATATTTCTATACTAGGAGATGGAGGATGTGCCCAGCTGAGGCACAGGAAGATTTCTACCATATCATCATCTTACTGCAATGCACCAAGGAGTTGCAGACCCTTGCAGACATGATCACAGTTCAGAACACAGCACACATCCCTCCATTTCACTGGGAATGTGAACAGGACCATGTACATGGAACACAGTATCTGGAAAAATTCCTCTGTTTTCCTTTGTTCCAATCTAGTTTATGTGGAAAGAGGAATTAAATATTTTATAATCCCAGCACTTGGAAGAATAAAGCAGGAGAGGCTGTATCCAGTGCTGTGTGTCACACTAGAAATTATCTACAGACTAAAAGAAAACTAAAGGGGGCAACGGTGGGATAGCAGCCAGTTCAGAGATGAACAGGCTGGATGGGACTATGAGTGACCTGATTCAGTGGAAAGTGTCCCTGCCCATGGCAGAGGATATCACTAGATGATCTTTAAGTCCCAATTCTATATTAAGTTAAAAAAAAAACCAAAAACCCAAAATCAAAAAAAACCAACCAAACACACAAGCTACAAAGCCCATACAGCTCACTCTGGTATTTTCACCATACTCCCTGCAACAGTAAAAAAGTGTAAGTGCAAATACACAGATTTCCAAAAGCTCTGAAAGTGCTGTGGAGACTCAAAGTGGAAATCAACCCCTGGTGTTGGTATCTCTCATCACAAAGTCTTCATGAATATCCAGCTTGGCCTGTACAGTCTTGCAGCCTTTATCAGAGTAGATCCTCTGCTCCTTGGGGAAATAGGTCATCTCATCTGCCACCTCCTGAACAATCTTCTCATCCACAGCATAGCCACGGGCTGCCATTTCAGCCCTGACACACATCTTCACATGCCTTTGCTCCAGGGGCAGGAAAGGGACAAAGTAGTCAATCAGGTTCCTGTCAATGATGCTGCTGTGCCACAGCCCACCTGGATAAATTGGGGGGAAAAAAATCATAAGAAGGAGTTTTTCTAAACTTGATCCTGCATCTGACAGGATCCACAAGCCAGGCTGGACTCACAGAGCAGTTTGTCTCAGCCCCTGAGGAAGGAATTCCCCATTTTTGGGGCAAAGTGACTTACTATTCTTGTTGTTGAAGACTCCTACAGAGAGCAAGGGCTCCAGGTCTTTCAGCTGAATATCTTCCCTGCGCTTTCCACTTGCCCAGAAGTCAAGAGCTGCTTTGTTAATTAAATCACCACCTGCATTGCTGATCATAAAAGAAAAACATACAGTGGTGAAAAAGATACACAAGTGAACCAGGATTTCTTTTGCAGCCTGTTACACATATTGCTAATCTCCTTGACATCAAACAAATCATCAAAAAGAATCCTGTAAGCCAAAATTTAGGGAAAGTCTCCAGTTCTTTAAGTAGCCATCTGTGTGGTGGGTTGCCCCCAGCCAGCAGCCAAGACTGACACAGCCACTTGCTTACTCCCTCCTGCCTCAGTGGGATGGAAGGAGAAGATAGGAAGAACAAAAGTCTGAAGACTTGTGGGTCAAGATAAAGGTAGTTTAATAAGAGGAGAAAAAAAAAAATCCAAGGAAGACTAAGGAAATCACTCACCACCCCCACAGTCAGACCAATGCCCAAATGCTGAAGAACCATCACCTTAAAGATGAAACCCCATTTTTTTTCTCCAGCCCTGTTTTTATTGCTGAGCATGGCATGCCATAGTATTAAATATCCTCCTGGGCACTTCAGGTCAGCTGTGTCCCCTCCCATCCTCCTGCCCAGCCCAGCCTACTGTGGGAAAAGCCTTGAAGCTTTGCAAACATCATCCAGAAACGGGCAAAACATTGGTGTGCTATCAACTCTCAGAGCCACAAATCCCAAACAGCACCAGACCAGCTGCTCTGAAGATATTTAACTCCATGCCAGCAAGGTCCAGTACTTGTACACCCATCCCAAAATGTGAACTCTCTTATGTCATGTGCTCTGGGCCAGCTTCATGAGCCCAGCATGCTGCTGTGGCCATGCTCAGCATCAGACCTGCTCCACTACAGCCACAGGCACAAGTTCAGACTGTTCCTCGCTGTCTTTGCACAGAGAATCTTCCCTCCTGACCATTTTTTTTTTGCTCTTCTATGAATGAGGTGCCCAAGAAGCATCATTATCATCACAAATAAACAATCAGTATCTCAAAATGACAGAAATTGCTGCCACAGACCTGAGGAAGATGAAGATGGCTTTCCTGTAAGACACCCCATCAACCTCCTCATAATAGTCTAAGAAGGGCTTGATGGCATCAATGACACCTGGATGCATTTTGTCCATCTCATCAAAAATGAAGACAGAGGAGGGACAGGCACTGACATTGCCTCGAATCCAGTTCTGCAGCTGTTCCTGGAACAAGAGGTTGAAAGCCA